TTGCATTTGCTGAAACTGCGAGAACAATACAGGACAAATCTATACTAATATATAAATATATAGTAGTTTTTACGGATGTTCCGTTATAACTGCTGAACAATGCATCCGATTGACTTGAAACTTGGTATCCATGTAGAAAATACATGTACTTAATGGACAGGCTAGTATTTATATGAGTGTTGGACTCCCTAATAATAATGACAATAAATAATAATGTTAATTTTAAATGCCCAGCGAAGCGGACGAGTACGGCTAGTATTTAATCAATTTATCACAATTGTTATGTATTAACCCGTCGATGGACTCAACTGTCATTACTAGCAAAAATGGCTCATACATTTTATTAATAAAATACTATAGTAGTATATTTCTAATCGTGAATATGCTCCACATCACGTATAGAGGGTTTTCAATAACCATATTACCGAAGCCTTTTAACAGCATCGATTCCAGCGCCCAATTGAGGGCACAGATCGGAGTGCCGATTTTATTCCAATAAGGAGACAGGAAGTCAAGAATGCCCGGATGATATCAAAGATCTTAAACGAATAAGGAATAACATCAAAGAGTCGTAATTACCGGTGAGTAGGGCTTATTTTGCGATCGGCACGGGTATATATTGTATTACCATTCTTCGTGTTCGCAAAGCATTCTTCGAAAGATGAAACCGCTGTTATGAGACTTAGATATCGTGTTTCAAGATAGGCATTCGCATTATACCGTCTATGGACTGCGATCCACTTAACACCAACGACCGACGACAACGTTACAACAAAACTCAACAAAATTATAATTTACGTAATTACTGGTGGTAGGACCTCTTGTGAGTCCGCACGGGTAGGTACCACCACCCTGTCTATTTCTGCCGTGAAGCAGTAATGCGTTTCGGTTTGAAGGGTGGGGCAGCAATTGTAACTATACTTGAGACCTTAGAACTTATATCTCAAGGTGGGTAGCGCATTTACTTTGTAGACGTATATGGGCTCCAGTAAAAAAAAGAAGAAAACGTCAGAGCAATAAAAAAAATCAGGTATCGAGAAATAAAACACAAAGCAATACAGGTTCGTCGTTTGACAATTTAGTGCGCAAATTAAGAGTTGGCCGGTTCAAAGCGATCTAGCCGTGACGCGTGTACGGAGCAAGGTCGAATGAGTTAGGCCACACCGGACACGACCACCGGCCGCAGCTTTACAGTATGTTTTCGTGGAGAACAGATTTAAAAAAAAAAAAGAACTGGATAGTACGTAACATGATTAGTTTTTTCTTACTTTACCTTTAAGCTATATTCATTTACTGAGTTTTGTACTTTTTTTCGCAAACCGTACTCTTTTTAAATCCTGTACTCTGAAAGTACTCATTTTTATAATTTCTTCTTTCGAAATCTTTCGGCATTTTAGATTAGCCTTTATCTGTGGGTGTAGAAGCGGATGACAGTATTTACGTTGTGATTCCTATGGGGACTTTAGACCATTTTATCCCAAGTGGATTGTTTTACCATAATTTTTTATTACTTAGATGGATGAACGAGCTTACAGCTCCTGGTGTTAAGTGGTTTCCGGAGCCCATAGACATCTACAACGATAATGCCGCCACCCATCTTGAGACATGAGTTCTAAGGTCTCAGTATAGTTATTATACAACGGCTGCCCTACCCTTCAAACCGAAAAGCATTACTGCTTCACGGCAGAAATAGGCAGTCTGCGCAATAAAAACATATAGCGGCAGTTGTTCGAGGAAGACTGGTTCTTCCATATCTTCAGATTAATATCAGATATAAGTTTATGTTAGGCCTGAACCGCGATTTCATCTGCTATTAATTGTCAATCCGATGGCTGTAGTTGGCAGATCGTGAAGCTTGCGTCGGCTAGAGGGTAGCCAGCATCGATGTGGTAATAGATCGATGGTAACCAGTCACATTATAGTCGTGGCGAGATACACTTTAAGCTAAGCTCCCACAAAATGATTTATGCATGCCGTAGGTTAAAAGTTCAATGACATTTAAGCCGATAATTTTTGTTTTTTGTTTTTGTTTATATTTAAATTAATGATTAACGATTTCCTTATTTTATATTGTTACACCCCATAGACACAGCCCACTGAGTTTCTCGCCGGATCTTCTCAGTGAGTCGCAATTCCGATCCGGTGGTAAACTCTGCGAAGCACTGCTCATGCTAGTGTTATCAAATTCTCTCAGGTTGAGCCCGTGAGCTCACCTACCCGTCCGGGAATAGCTGCAATAACCCCTTAGGCTACCAACGAATAGGCAGGGAAAATAAAAATATTGTTACAAGGACTATTAAAGGCGTTTTATCGTAATGAGATGTGAACAACCACTTTTCAACTGTAACACAGTACTTTGATGACTATTAGATTTAGACTATTTAGATTACGTACGTGAGAATTGAAAATAGTTTGAAAGTGCACAATTTTGCGGGCAGCGCATTACTTGATATTTTTTATCTGTGTTTGTCGTGAGAGAGCCAACTCTTCTTGACGATTCTTCTCAATGGCAAAACTGTACTCTGGATCGATGCTATGCTCATTATGATTTACATTACTACAGAGGACCTACTTTAAGCCATAGATACCCATTTTTTTATGTTTTTTTTTTATACTTGCGTTGAAAAAGTATCCTATACTGACACGACTCCATCCGGTACTCATGAACTTGTATAAAACCAATCTATTCTCTATAAGTTCATTACATTCAAGTGAGGTTTGCACAGGTGCATCGCATGCAATGTTTTGTTTTAAATTGTATGTAATCATTATAATGCAGTTAAATATAAGTACAATGCTTCTCTGTTGCCAAACGTCATTCACATTACAATTTGCATTACATATGATTTTTATTGTCGTAGTTTTTTTTATGCTTTTCAATTTATGTGTTGGTGGCGGCACGAGGAAACTGTGATAAAATGAAAGAAAACGAATAGAAGGCTGAATCGCTAACAATGACGTCACAAAATTACATTTAATTTTAATACAAAATGAAATGCCGTTGTGAAGAAATTTTGGATCGTCTCGGTTCACTGGGAAAAAAAACCTAACCTTGTGTTGACAATCTTACGTTTACATTAAGAAACACCCACTATTTTTTCCTATACCTTATTTTCGTAGCAGATATTGTCAGCTTGAAGCAAAATTATCTAGCCTATTTCTCATACTATACCAGTTTCATGGTTTTTTTTTGGTCAGGAATAAATCGCCGGGTTTTTTTTAAGTTTCATGGATAGGGTAACTGTTCTATAATATGTTCCCTATTGTTTAAATGTTTGCCTTAATGGCCCTTTTTTCCTACCTAAGCTGATAGTCTAGATTCTAGAGAGACCATATCAGCGTAACCTTAACTAGTAGGTGAGCTCACGGGGCTCAAACCTAACGATGTTGCTAACACGAATCGAAAAGACGTGTTTAGGGCGACGTCGACTGTTTACCATTCGTTCCGCAGGATCGGGTATGTCAAGTAACTAGAACAATCACGTTAAATAGAAAAACGATTTTAGATTTTACCAGATTTTACCAGCCAGATGTTGGAAGAAGGAAAGTGTGGAGACGCTCTGAGCAGGTATGCTCAGCGTAACATCATTGGAAAAAGATATATGGTGAAGGATCGGTTCTGGTTTGGTCAGCTATTTATTATCAGGGTCCATACGGAGCTCCGCGTCATTGTGAATGAGTCACTAACAAGGGCACGATGTGGAACTGAGCTTTTAGAAGAAATCCTATTGCCATTTCTAATAGGCAGATTTGTTTTTATGCATTTATAATACACGGCCCGACATTGCCGCCGTTGTTGTCGAATTAGGAACGGCCAAAACTTAACGACAGGATGCGTCATTTCATTATTTTTTGTACGAATTTTAACAAGTCGTATGACACCATGCGCACCAGGATTAGTTCAGTGACTCGCGCTAGGTCCCACTGTAAAATTTTCGAGAGATTGAAATCAAAGCTATGCTATGGAGCACAAGCGCGCTCGCCCGACCTAAGCCCCATATAGCATGGATAGGATATGCATGGGAAACAACTTAATAACAATAAATAGCTAATTTGAGAGATCTTAAAAACTCATTATAGTACAAACGGAACTGATCTCGCAAGATTTGGTGGATGACAAAAATGTTTATTTCCTGTAAAATCTGCATAAATTTTTTATTTGTCTAATTTTGCCATTTGATAATTTTGTAGCAATTTTAAATCAATCCAATGAAGTAAAGTACCAAATAATATACATAATTAATTTTCATAAATATCCATTATAGTATTTAGTGTTAAAAAGTTTTTTTTATGTTTTCTTTTAAATTTGGCAGTTTTATGTGTATTCATTTTGTAAAAATATTTAGATTTTAATTTTTCTTCCAAATGTTGTTAAGAAAATTATCACTATTTTTAATTACACATAGGCGAAATCAAACAGTTTAGTGCCTTTTTCTTTTGTAGTAGCTATTGGAGATCTTTAGTATTGTCACAAAAAAAATGTCAAACAATTTTTGCCACCTGTACCAATAAAATTAATTTAAATCTTGAGATTTTAATGATTATTTTTCAACCACTGGGTAAACACTAGTACATTTTAATGACATTTAGCTATTTACATACAGCTATTTTACTACTAATATCAGATGTTTAAAAGCCTAATTACTTATGTAATAAATAAAATAGAGAAATTGGACGTTGCAGTAATGTTTTTACCTTTTTTTATGAGATTTAAAATTTGGTTGTTTATTTATCATTAAATTGTGCATAGGGTACATATTTTTATAATAATATATACACACAAGGTTTTTATGATAAAACATTTTTGAGTGGCACGGAATTATTTACATAGTTATTTCATATAATTATATTTTTTAAATTATTTTAATTACACATTCTATTCATATATTCTATAAATTTCCCATCACTTAGTCTACATTTACTTTCATTCTTTTATTTCAAAATCGTATAATAAAAGTATTTTTTGTTAAGGTAAATTTAAAATTTTTTTTTGGACTTACCAAAACATTGTGATGAGTCTTGTGGCCTCTGTGCACCCATTGCACATTGGGGGGTGGTACAGTAAGGAGCTCCCCACACGGTATTGTTACGTTTATGGTTCCCTTGTCTGCAAAGACTTCACGTATGTTCACATCTTCAGCCCCGAGGAAAGAAAAAACTTGAACAAAAGGTTTTCAGTTTTATTTTTTATTTATTACACACAAGAAAACAAAATTTTAAAAGGTCATCTAATTACAGAGACGTACTTTACACGTTCATGACTGTTCTTCCAGAAAACCACTGGTAAGGAAAATTGGTCTAGCATTTTAGGAGTAGGATATATTTATGTACGAAATTTTCTTCAGAATTTATGATATTTAGAACTTAAATTATTCTGCGCTATATCATTATTATGTTTTAAACAAGTTTTTTTTAATACTTCGGTTAAAACATTTTATTTACCTTCTATTTCAAGGCAGAACACAGTGAACAATAATCGTCCGAAAAACATTATAATTCTACATTTAGTACCGCGTAAAAAAATTTTAAAAGCACTGATTTTAAACTATAATAGATTCGTTATCTTTTCACTTTGATTACATCACATAATAATTTATCTGAAACACGAGAGGTGAATTATTTAAAAAATAATTATTTAACTAACATCCAAACCAAATTGATACAAATCATAGACTAAAAATGTTGTCACAGTCACAAAGTGACGAGTGACGTTTATTTGGACATATTGAGTTGACGTAAAGCAAATGCTGCCAATAAAAAATCATTTTAGATTAACAGAAAAACTATTAGAGTTACTAAATAACTCTAGAATTATAACCACCGTCTACCCCACAAGTTTTACAAATTCCGGCACCGTCTTAACCTAAGGCATTGTAAGTGACCTCTATATTCTCTACACTGAGTCGGCTTAGTGGGGTACAAGAAACCTTTCGTTTAGACAATACATAAGTCATAGGAATTACTAATAATTAACAAGAAAATATATATAGAACAGTTCATGTTTCTCTCCTTCTAGATAAAGTCATTAAAATACTGCTTTCAAATTTTTATTAATTCATTTGGCAAAATAATCTTCTAGGCTAACTTTAATATAATCTTTGATTTGCTGACTGCCCAAAAATTCACCTACAAACTACAAAGCTATGAATGCCAGACCTCTTTTGTTTTAACAACCGATCATTGGGTTGAGCTGAGATCATGCTTTGATTTAATGTATTTCTATTTACTCTCAGGTACTGAAATAAAATAAATGGAATGAATGAAAACAAACCCATGCACGAAACAATTCGTTTTGGATTCAATCCATCCCGCGGTGTTAATTTAAAGCAATAATTTCTTTTTTGAAATGAAAATAATTGAAGTTATACTTCTGCGTGTTATGAAAAATTTATGAGAGTGAAATTTTACGATACGCGCACACCGTGACACAAAATTAACAGAAATGAAGTTGCCCACTAAATCGCTCATTACAATACGACCGACGTAACTTGGCGAGCCTGAATATAGCCGCAGGTGAACTTGCGCATGTACACTCGTAAAAAAATGTGTTATTAGCATTCATTATTTAGTAATATAAATGACAAAATTATTATTTAATATAATTCATACTAAATATTATTAAATTATTAACGTTAAATATTTATTATGTAACATTTAAAAAAAATTAATAAAAATAAAGTTTAACTTCTTACGGACATAAGTACACGCACCCTTTTTTTTTGTAGAACAGTTATTAAATTCTTTCAGTTTAAAATAAATATTAAGGTCAGAATCTTGTTTTTTTTAAAAATATGAAAATAACGTTCATAAGATATAATCTCTATAGTTGCAATCTTCAATCTCGATTGTCTCTATTTCAACCACTATTACAACAAAGTTAAAACTTTGATTTTCGTCACATTGGCCGTTTTCCAATTACAGCATAAGAGCGCATTATGCAGCATAATGGTCAACTAAGCTTAAGCATAATTCGGCATTGTGCGTCACTGAGTCGCATTATGTTCTGTAATTGGAAAAAACTACCATTAAGTAATGGTTAATTACAGAGCATAATGCGACTCCGTGACACACAATCATGCTGAAGCTTAGTTGAGCATTATGCCGCATAATGCGCTCTTGTGCTGTAATTGGAAAACGGCCATTGCTTTGTTGACAAAATTAAATGTTTGACTGTTTAAATTATTGTCATTTTATTCTTTGTTGACAATCACCAAACCAATCTGTCAAAACAAATTGACTATGGTTTGACAATTCAAAAAGCATAGACAAAAAATATAGATTTTCTTGGATATGGCCGCTGTTTCGGCAATACAACATCTGTAATGTTTTGTAAATTTCATTTTTAAAATGAATAAAGTTTATTTTATTAATGCATAGTGTTTAGTGTATTCGGTTCAGTACTGTGATATTTGTAATGGATGCAGATAGCGAGATAGAAAAAAAGAAAATTGATGCAGTCCAAACTATAGAGACAATTCAGTCAATGATCGACGTTTCAGCGGAAAGACTTGAGGGTTTACGGACACAATGTTCCACAAGCGCCGAACTGACGCAGCAGGAGATCCGGACCCTGGAGGTAGGGGCCACAAATATGTATTTAAACAGCAACAGTGTGTTAAAGAGCGGTGTCCTTGAGTTTGCCAGTCGCAAGGCCTTCTGTTTCAAGGACTGCGTTTCTCTCAAGGACTGAGGTGAATAGGTCAATATCGTATTACGGAATCAGAGCTCTACCTGATTTACTATAGAACTCAAACAACAGGGAAAAAAATATTTTAAACATTCTCACTTACTTTGCTATCTATTGTATAATTTCCACAAAATTGTATTAGTTGCGTACGAGCGCCAATAAAATAAGCGCAAGTTAAGAATGATATGATGATATCATCTGCTCTTAAAAAGTGTTGTGTTGTTAAATCAATAGAATTTATATTGGCCCACTGACTGTCACTGATAAGATTTCATGATCACATATGTGTGATTGTGGATGTGTTACATATAGTAAAACACACACACACTCTAATGTTAAAGTCAGAAGTCAGTAATATGAAATTATTCTTAACTCTACTAAAGTATTCTAAACTTGTGGCCTATATCAATCTTATAATGCTTTAAGGTATATTTTGAAGCTTAGCTAATTTATAATAAATAGGCAACTAAATCGCCCAAATTAAAAGTTTTTAGAAGCACCAATACTTGCAAATACAGCATTTGCAAATCATATATACAAATTAGTTATTTTAGAAAGTTTAAGCTTAGTGAACCTTCTGTCTTTGTTTGACGGAAGCCACTAAGTCACAGAACCATCAACTACAAAATCAAATCTGCAGATTTAAAAAAAAGGGACATTTTTACTATGGTAAGGCATGTTGTGATCTTGCAAGAGTAGATACTATCATCTTGCCTATTTCTGCTGTAAGAAGTCATGCATTCCAGTTTGAAGGGTGTTCTCAAGGTGGCAGCATTCACTTCTGATGTCCATGGTCTTCACTAACTATTTTTAATTAAATAGAAAGTGAACTCATTCATCCATGCTAGCAATAAATAAATAAATCTAATTCAATTATAAATACAAAAGTTTCTTATATTAAACTGATTGGCATAAATATGATTAGAAAGTCATTCATGTTTATTTGACTCAATGTTTGTGTGCATTTGTGTTTGTGTGTAGTTTGTGCGTATTTAGTTTACAGACTCAATTCAATTTTTATTTTAAATTTCTGATATGTTGGTAGTGGTATGTTACTGGTGGTAGGGCCTCTTGTGAGTTCGCATGGGTAGGTACCACCACCCCGCCTATTTCTGCCATGAAGCAGTAATGCATTTCAGTTTGAAGGGTGGGGTAGTCGTTGTAACTATACTGAGACCTTAGATCTCATATCTCAAGGTGGGTGGCGCATTTACGTTGTCTATGGGCTCCAGTAACCACTTAATACCAGGTGGGCTGTGAGCTCGTCCAACCAACTAAGCTATAAAAAAAAAAGTTGATTAAATTGAACATTATGATGTTATTCTATCAAATATATGACTTAAGACAATGTAATTCAAGCTGAGATTCTTTTAATTTACACAACCTAAATCTCTGTTTTATCAAAAATTGTAAAGAACATACATCTCTTCAAGACCGTAATTGTATTTATACAAGAATTAAATATTTAGGTTATTATTTTTAATTGAATTCGGTTTTGTTTTCAGGGTAAACTAGTGAAGCACTTCTCGCAGCAGCTAGTGATCAAAGCAAATTTGGATGATCAGTTGCGATTAAAGTTCTCGAATGTACCGAATCTGGCGAAATGGCTCAGGGTGGTTGGGCTTTCGCCTGAATCTATTGAGGTAAGTCAAAAACTCTAGTAATAAGTACTTGCTTGCATGACCAGTATCCTGCAGATCAAGTTGAGGTGGTGGGTTTGAGACTTAGCAGTGCTGCACTGCTTTGCTAATTTTCTGGATACCAGTGAACCTTTAGAAAAAATTAGTAAAAATAGCCTGTTCCCAAATCTGCTATTCCTGCTTCTTGCAAACAGGTAGGTGAGCTCACAGGCTCAACCTGAGAGAATTTGCCTAGCTAGCCCTAACAAGAGCAATGCCTCACAAAATCAACAGCCGAGTTGGAATCATTGATAAAATCCGGGGAGAAACTCAGTAGATCGTGTCTATGATATAGTTGATGAGCGATTAGTGACTGCAGAGTATATTTTGGGTGTTTGATTTGGAATGCGTTAAAGATTGACCCGAGTGATCTTTATGCATCACAGTCAAAGCTAACAATATTTCAGGCGGTCTTATCAAGGGTATCAACATTGGAGAGCCTACGAGAACGGTCCGACGCCGAAATGCGGCTGATACTGGCGGAGGCGCGCGAAGAGGAGGTGCTCCGATTGTGTCGAGCCATGCAACGATTAAGAACTTATATGGGTAAACATTGATAGTTAAAATATTTTATTTCAACAATGTGATGTCTTAATTATTTTATCACTGAATTTGCTATAATCGCTAAATTTCTTTAATAATAACTGATTTTACAGTTGATTCTAGCCTTTATTATTTTCATATGGTTTATTCTGACGCTTCGGCGAATTAAATGATGTAGAAAATTCGATGACAATTAGCACAATATTTAAATCTCGATAAAAAACACCTCCGTCGTCAATCATCACGAACATTAAAGTATTGAAACGTCAAAAACAATAAATAGGAGATTAAAACTATAAAAGTATTTTTAATTACATTCAAGAGATTCTTGTGAGACTCGATGATAATACTTCATATTAACTCTTATTTTAATATCAATTAATTGAGTCAGTTAATTAAATATTATTTCCGTCCAGGACGAGTCAATCTGCTGTTGTTTCGGTGCATGTTGACACAGATGACATCTGCACCAGCTACGAATGAACGTTGTTCGTGTTTGTTGCAGAGTCGTTGAGTCGCGGCGACGCCAACACGGAGCTCCAGCTGTTCTGGGACTCGTGGGAGCGGCACGTGCGCGCCTCGCCCCGCCCGCACCGCCCGCGCCACGAGACCCACACTGCACACATCAAGAAAGGTACCTTACTGATAGGGGCGCGTCATGGTAGGCAGCGGCTTGGCTCTGCTCCTGGCATTGCTGACGTCCATGAGCGACGGTGACCACTTACCATCAGGTGGTCGTATGCTCGTCAGCTTACAAAGGCAATAAACATTTTTTATCATGGCCGGACCATCCAGCCAGAGCCGGATATCCCTTAAATGCCGCCCTGGGCTATTGTAAACTACACGTATTTTTTTTTTATGATTGTAGGAATACTCAGTTGGGCGAGAAAAGGCTCAGCCAGGAGGGGAGGGATTTGCTAACAACTGCCCGAGCCTCTCTACCTATTACCTATATCTTGTATTATTTAAGTAAAAATCCGGAGCATAATTGATGAAAAAATACATAACATACCGCTTATAGTTGATAAAAGTGTTATGGTATTTAAAATCATAATTACCTACCCTACATGGTTTAGTTTTGGATTTTCAAATTGAACTATTAGATCATTACAATTTAAATGTTGAAGAAAATATGATTTCCAAACTTAAGATTGTTAAACTATTTGGCTCATTTTCGCTGATTGAAGTACGTAAGCAATCATTACCCTTTTTGACTATGAAAATGATAGGAGACTATTTCGCCGTCCTAGGCATTAGTCACCTAGTGTCCCATTGATGGCTGGGTCTAATAACGACTTGACGAGATTGGACAAAACGACATGTCAATGCTATATGCTATTTTATCCGCTTCTCGATCGAATTGGCTCATGGTGAGCGATACGCGGGCCTGTGCAGTGTGGTGGTATGTGGTACCCACCAAATAAAAGCGTAAAATATTTAATTTTTTTTGATTTGGTGTTGTTTTTTGTTTTTTTTTGTTTATGTATTCATAGTTTGGTTCGGTCTATACTAACGCTTAGCCCACTGAGTTTCTCGCCGGATCTACTCAGTGGGTCGCGTTTCCGATACGGTGGTAGATTCTGCGAAACTCGGCTCTTGCTAGGGTTCGTGTTAGCAACGTCGTCAGGTTTGAGCCCCGTTAGCTCACCTAATAGTTAAGGTTACGCTGATATAGCCTCTCAAGGCTCTCAGCTTAGGTAGGAAAAAAAAACCAACGCTTATAGTCGTAACTCCTTATTAAAAAGTATAATCGAATTTATCGTGCCTTATAAAATCGTATGTAAATAAACGGGAATGGTACGCAAATCGTATGCGTTTGACGTCACTGTGGCACGCGCGGATAGCTCCGGTGGGTTTCCGTTCACTCATTTCTAATTCACAGCGACCCGATGACGTCACCGTAATCATATTCAAGGACCGTATTGTCCAACTGTTACAACGGTCAAAGTCAAACAGCTTTCCGAATTTAGTCTCAATTCAGGCGATCTTTGGTCTCACATTTGATCGGTCACATGCACACGAACTATAATTATGTCTTTATGATATTCTCGACTCTTGTAGTGGGAAATAAGACGCCCTAGATAGCTACGGGTATTTCGACAACAATAGACGGTATATTAGCTGGTTCATGATTTTACGTATAAATGCATCTATAAACCTTGTGAAGAAAGAGAGAGTTACAAAATCAATTCTTTTATCTCAGGAAAATGCACCGATTTTCATTCATTCTGAATTAAATAAATAAATATATAATATAATAAATATAATTATGTTTAAATATAAAATAATTACTCTCTCTCTCTCGCTCTCTATCTCTCAACTAGCGACCCGGCAGATGTTTGTTCTGCCCTAAATGCGAAAATTTCTAATGTTTTATTAAAAAATAATAATTAAAAAAGCGTTTACGGCCCGCCATATTGTGAATCTAAACTATTCCCAAATTACTGGAACACAAAAAAAATAGCATAAAAATCGGTCCAGCCGTTTAGAAGTTTGGTTTGGAAGTTCTGGTAGCCTAAGGAGGTATTGCAGCCTCACGCGAACGGGTAAGTGAGCTCACGGGCTCGACCTGAGAAAATTTGCTAACACTAGCAAAGGCAGTGCTCCGCAGAATCTACCACCGGATCGCTGTCAAGATCCACTGAGAAGATCCGGCGAGAAACTCAGTGGGTTAAGTTTATAGTTGCTCTTCGAAATCTTCTTCCTAATTGATGAGTTCATATCCATCGATCTATGTACAAAAAGGGACATTCCCTTAGAATATAGGATATTTTGTCTATTATAATTTTGGCGTGACGCAAGACGCATAATTATATGTCATCACACACATATCGATATGTTGTGTAGTGGAATCGATGCAGTGACGTCTTTCATATAAATGTCTAGACAGACTGAAATGTAAAACTTGTTTGACGTAGGTGGTGGATCATATTTCCGTTCACGTTTGTAGTCGAGCTCGGTAAAATGACGTCATAGCCATAGCCAACTAGATATGAAATTTTTTCGCTACCTTTTCGCTGCACTGTGTTTGAACAATTTTGCAGTCGGACTCGGTGAAATGACGTCATAGTCATATTAGCTATAGCCAACTAGATAGAACACCATATTTGAATTTTTTTCCCCTACCTATTATCTTGTAGTCTAAGGGGCTATTTCGGATACGCACTGTGTTTGGACACCTTTGTAGTCGAACTCGGTGAAATGACGTCATAGTCATATTAGCCATAGCCAATTACATAGAAAACCATAATATGGAAAAAAATATCTCTACCTATTTATTCCCTTGTAGCCTAAAGAGATATTCCGGCTACGCAGTCTGTTTGGAATTGTTAATGGCGTAGGTTCGTGTAACAGATTGAGAACATTGAGCATTTATGAACATAGTTCTCGCTAATGTTTGTTGGCAAACCAGTTGAGGACCACCCGGGTCTTAAAGGTGAATGCCGCTAAACCACCTTAGAGTAAAGTGGTGCTATCCAACCCTTTGGCCGAGAAAGGTTATAGCTTCGTCGAAAAATAGGGTAGGCGTTAGTAAAAAGTCCTTTTGAAGTGATGTATTAATATATTTAATAACATTTTTGTCATAACATTAACATTTATGTCTTTGTATCCACCTCGTAAGCATCTCACTACTCTACCCGTGGGCTGGTGACTTACTAATATATGAAAACTCCATACTGCGTCAGTACACTTACATGACCGGTATTTCAACGTTTTTTTCTGAACAACGCCATATGTCAAATGGATCTTAATAGTTGTGAGTTCCAGCCTAGAGATGCAAGTAGTATTCCACGCTAGGTCAGACTTTTGGCATTTTAAAGCCATAGCCATTTTAATTCTGTCGTCTACCAACAAAGGATCGTACCATTTTAGATCCTGTAAGAATACTTGCACCAGTCGATATCTGGGGTGTCGAGAGTCCGTTGATGGGATTGAGTGGTCAAATTGACCTGCCAAAGTCGCGATGTGGGTCGTTATGGTACCATAAAGCATCTTGCTTCCAGGTTGCAAGACGTCTAAAGCAAATAAATGAATAATTGTTCTCAAACATACTGGTTGGCCATACGCGTTGCCAGAGTTGATGGTTTTTTTATTGTTTCCAGGTGGCAAATCTCCAACGACACCGGTGAGCAAGCGGAAGCAGAACGCGAGCCTGCCGCCTCCCGACGCTCCCCTCATCAAGTCCCGGTCTCACGAGTCGCAGTTGTCCGTGAAGCCCGACGCTTCGGATCATAGGCACGTACCATTCCGAAGACAATTGACTTCTCTTGTTGTAAAAAAAAAAACTTTTACTGTACTACATAGTATAAAACAAAGTCGCTTTCTCTGTCCCTATATCCCTATGTATGCTTAAATCTTGAAAACTACGCAACGGATTTTGATGCCATTTTTTTAATAGATAGAGTAATTGAAGAGAAAGGTTTATATGTATAATAATATCCATTAAATAGTAGAGAAATACTGTTATTTTTGAGGTTTCTAATGTGATGTCGTATATAATCAATAATAAAATTTCATGTTTCCGAAGCGAAGCGAGGGTGGGTCGCTAGTAATAGTATATAGTGTAAAAAGGACTATTATCATTGCACAGGTGAACGAGATTAAGGCACACCGGTGTGCTCAGTGCGAGTTTTTTAACGTTCTCGATAGCGTAAAAGTTAACTCAAATTTGTATGGAGTTGAAACGTTTGCGTACGTTTGCCGCTAGGGGCGCTGTTCCAATTTTTACGCTATCGATAACGTTAAAAAACTCATACTGAGCACACTGGTGCGAAGTGGTGATTGAAGCCCGCAGACCACGTAAAATGTTATCCCTCCACTAACCTTGGACGTGTAAAGGCTGTTCTAACCTTCTAACCGAAAAGCGTGATACCTTCTCGGCAGGATCGTGGTACCTACCCATGCGGACCCATAATTCGCCATGCCACAAGGAAATGCATATCTTAGTCGCCTTTTACCACATCCACGGGAGGAAATGGGGGTGATATTATACGTTGACCTCCTCCAGTCAGTAAAATGATAATCGAATTAAATCATTGCCTACTATTCTAGTACTACCGTTCAAACGTTTTGTTAACGTGTATACGAGTATATAAAGCTTTTAAGCGCGGTACATTTCTTGCTATACACCAGGTATCTACATTCAGTAAATGAGTCGTCTATTATCAAAGGTGGCAATCTGTGTATTTGGACAAAAAAATTTTTTTGATATGTCAATACAGATTGATTTGAATATAATCGTCTCCTTCAAAGAATACGGTTCAAAACCTGCATTAAATAAAGGTTAATAGTTAACCTGTTATTTATCTATGATGTCGTTCCGAAGAGTATTGTGACTGCCACTGGAATACAAAGTGAATAATTCGTTTTTCTGATTTACCAATCATTGTCCAAAAGTCAGATTGCCACCTTTGATAATAGACGACTCAAATATATTTATTGAGATATCCAAAATGCTTAAAAGTGTATGTGGAGCATGCCTATATTTCAGTGCTTTTGGTAGAAGTGAAATTATAAATTGTGTTTTGTGATCTATGACCGATCTGGGTTCGTGGGTCCTCCCACTGTATATTATAAATTTGTTAGTCAATATGTCCCAGTTCGTTTTTGGCATTATTATAAGTTGAAGATTTACGGTTATCTGTTTTAAAAATATTTGTCTTCGTGAAGTCATAACGGATTCATAATCCCTTTAGGCCTACATAGGAAGAGTAACCGTTCATAATAACTATATTATACCATAAATCATAGTCCAATAAACTGAAAGACTTTTTAAAATGATTGCTTTATATTGACAGTGACAACAGCCAGTCGTCAGCGGTAGGAGGGGGCAGTCCCCCCGCGTCCCCGCACGAGCCCGAAAACACGCCGCTGCATCGGCCGCTGCACCAGTACAATAACCATGTCAGTATACTGTGATGTGTATAGTATCTATGATATCGAGGAGCAAAAGTTGTTGTTTCCGCAACAACAAATGAGCCCTCGCAACACACATGCTAAATTTTTAATCAACAGTTTGATCTAATTGTTGGATCAAACAAAAAATTCGAAAATTCATATTTCTTCAAGCCATTTGATTTTTCATTAAACTTGATCAAAATGTTCCATAAACATTCATCCCAATTGGATCAAACTGTTTGAAACAGATAATTTGATTAAAAAAAAATTTTATTGGTTAGATGGGCGGACGAGCTCACAGCCCACCTGGTGTTAAGTGGTTACCAGAGCCCATAAACATCTACAACGTAAATGCGCCACCCACCTTGTGATATAAGTTCTAAGGTCTCAGTATAGTTACAATGGCTGCTTCACCCTTCAAACCGAAACGCATTACTGCTTCACGGCAGAAATAGACAGGGTGGTACCGACCCGTGCGGACCCACAAGAGGCCCTACCACCAGTAATAGATAGTAATTCAAGCCATTTGATTACTCACTCCTCCGTGCGTCGTATTCCTCAGTTTTGAGGGTCGTGACCTTTACTGAGCACTTTTGTTAGGACTATGTTCCTCCATTCACTCCTGTCCTCCGCGCAGTGGATAGCGACATTGATGCTGGATTCCAAAGTAGTCTTAATCTGATCGGACCAGCGCATGGGACTACACCCCCTAGGCCTCTTTACTTCCACTTTGCCGGTGATGAGAAGTCTTTCGAGATTGTCACCCTTTTTCCTCGCTACGTGACCGAAAAACTCTAAAATCACTCACTAAATTTGATCAAAATGTTTGAACCGGCCAATTTGATCAAATTATTTGAACGTATAAAGATATAGATATATATAGATAGATAGGCCATAAAGAAGTATTTGAACTTTGAACGTTTTAATCTCCATCGGTGATGTTAGACGGCGCGGCGCTGCGAGCGGTGTCCGGTGCCGAGCCGGGCGGGCGGCGAGGAGGCGGAGCGGGCGCGGGCGCGGGCGGGCGGGCCGCAGCCGGCGCCGCGCACGCCCACCGTGAGCCGCTGCATGGCGCACGACATCGCGCACCGCTTCACCAAGACCTTCAACATGATCGCCACGTGCGACTACTGCGACAAGCAGATGCTCTTCGGCTCCGGCCTCAAGTGCAAGGAGTGCAAGTTCAAGTGTCACAGGTGACCGCTTACACGATACTGTACCCGTCTAACTGGCGACGCACCGTTTTGATATTCAAAATCCTTGTGAACAGAATCCAAATAAGACTTGGAAGTGGCTTAATACAACATTATTGTTTTTTTTTTGATAAATGTCAATAATGTTATTGAAGAATTTGTTAATTTTTTCTGGTTTGATTATAATAATTTAAGCCTTAAAGCGCATATCTTAAAGTTTAAAATATGCGCCTGATTTAAAAGAGACTGAAATTTACATTTAAAATTTTATTTTTATAAACTGATGGAATACATGTTTGTAAGTCGCTAAAAAGTTTAAAACTCATTTTCTTGAAACTTTTATAATAGTTCTAAAGGTTCAGTTCAGTTCAGGCTCAGTTCAGTTCTAAAGATACGAAATGACAAACATAATTCAAAAGTACTTGTGTGAAAGAGCGGGCGCATCATGTTGTCTCTCTCGCATTCTCATGCCACAACGTCATAAAAACGTCATAAAAATTACTTGCATTCTGTTTGAAGTTAGTGTGTATACGTTTGCCGCCAAGGGTGCTGTTCCAACTGTATACAAATAAGAGTCAAATTTTACGCTATTGAGACCGAGGCCCACCTGATGGTAAGTGTTCACCGTCTCTTATGGACGTCAGCAATGCCAGGGGCAGAGCCAAGCCGCTGCCTACCTATACATATATAGACAATAGACAACCAGACAAAGAGCAAACAAACCTGTTCATCACACGAATGTTTGCCCGATGTGGGAATCGAACCCACGACCCTCGGTGCAACAGTCATGACCACTATCTACTGCATCACCTAATGCATTGAGTCAAAAAAAAAGTTATTAAAATTTTGTTCTCGCGTTTCAAGATGCGTAGCTGCATCCACTGTCTATGGGGCTCAGTAACTTAATTCTAGATGGGCTTGTTCATTAGTGCAGTTTAAATTACAGGAAATTGTTCACTTAAATCGTATCAGTACAGATTGTAAAAAAAGAAATAAGTTAATACCAATTTAATAATAAACATTTTTATTCCCAGTTTTAATATTATTGTTTTGTCAACAGGGATTGTGAAAGTAAGGTGCCTCCTTCGTGCGGCCTGCCCCCAGAGTTCGTTGTGGCGTTCAAAGAGAAATTCCACAAAGATGGTCAGTCTTGTTGTATTTAGAAAACTATATATTATAATATTAATAATTTAATCTGTTTAGAGAGGAATTTGTAAAGTTTATTCTTTGCATTGCAATTTGTTCATTTCATATTGAAAACAATTAAATAAGTACAAAAAATTAACTAATATATTGACTATTCATTAAAAAAATATATTTTCACGTGTGGTCATTTAGCGTAGAATTAAATATATAAATAAATAAAACGTACCAAGTTTTTTTTTCTACCTATTCTAGTAACCTCGAGGGGTTATATTAGATTCACAGAACGAGTAGGTGAGCTCACGGGACTCTAACTTGACGATGTTGCTAACACTAGCCCTAGCAAGAGCATTTACCACCGGATCGGAAACGCGACCCACTGAGACGATCCGACGAGAAACTCTGGACTGTGGAACTGAATGATGCCTTGAATGATCTGATCGTATCCGCAGGGGGGTACAGCTACACGCGCGGCGCGGGGCTGCTGGCCTCGCTCACCGGGCGCCCGCGACGCCGCCACCGCGCGCCGCCCGCGCTGCACCACGCGGTCAGTACACCACCACCACCAGCCCATCCAACATTCCCCCCCACTATACGCACTATACACGTTTAAATGAGGCCGTCAATGCAAAAGTGGCCTAAGCTTACCATAGTTGGAGATAATGAGGTTTGAATTTACTTTTACACTGCTTCGTACGCAAAAACAATACGCACAAAAATAATGCTTACAAAGCCATCTATTATCTATGGGTGAAACTAGGGACAGACTGGTTTTGCGTCAAAATTTATTATATTTTAAATAAATGCAAAGCATAAATATAAATAAACTATGGCTTAGACCACTTTTACGCTGTCGATGTCAAATATACACATAGTGGATAACCTGACAAAGAGCTAATAAAACTGTTTCTGAGGTCTTATTGTGATTTGTTGGTTGATTGAACCTCCGATTCTCTGCCGAGAAGTCAAGTCACTCGCATGTAGTGTCAAAATTTTTGAAGAAACGTTTTTTTTGTCGCATTGTTAGAAAACTTTCCTTTGTATTGCTATAAATGCACTAAGCAACAAAATACTCTGATATAACTCGAACTAAAATGTATTGTCCTCCAATTTGGGACGATTATCCAAATAATAATTCTAGAAAATCGTAAGCAATTATTTTTTTCCGTGTCATAACTTTGTCATTATATTATGTGTATTAATTATCTATGGCTGTGGACGCAGGCCGGCAGCGGCGCGGACTCGTCGTCCAACAACTCGTCGTGCAACAGCTCCACGCCCTCCTCCCCCGCGCTGCAGCCCGCCGCCACCCCGCAGCCCGCCCCGCACCCGCCGCACAAGTTCCACTTCCCAGGTACGGGAGGCTATATTGTAAGGCATAGTGCCCGTAGTTTATCGGTTTCAATTTTTTTGCATATATTGGTGGATGAGCTCACAGCTCACCTGATGTTAAGTGATTATCGAAGCCTATAGACATCTACAACGTAAATGCCGCCACCTACCTTGACATACGAGTGCTAAGGTCTTAGTATGCCCCGACATTCAAAACGAATCTCCTTCACGGCAGAAATAGGCTGAGTGGTGGTACCCACCCGTGCGCACTCACAAGAGATCCTACCACCAGTAATTACGCAAATTATAATTTTGCGGGTTTGATTTTTATTACACGATGTTATTCCTTCACCGTGGAAGTCAATCGTAAACATTTCTTAAGTACGTATTTCATTAGAAAAATTGGTACCCGCCTGCGAGACTCGAACACCGGTGCATCGCTAGATACAAATGCACCGGACGTCTCAGCCTTTAAGCCATGACGACTTCAAGATTCCATTGAGATCAGTCTCGTGTCCGAGACTGGTGGTTTCCAAGCGCTGGACAACACCAGAAAGTACCCCAGTTCGTTTGTGTGTCGGTTTATGTGTCACACATCACTTATGCCTCATTAATTTCGTACCAGAAGTAAAAACTCCCGCGTCGAGTCCGAACCACCCGACGGTCGCGCAGTCGCCCGCCAAGTCGATAGCGGAGCACAAGGAGGAACACACGAATAGTACTAAAAACGGTATGTACGTTTGTAGCGACCGACAACCTTCCCCCAACCCCCCTCCAAGCAAAATTAGCTACGGGAACGATGTCGTGTGCCGTCACGTAAGGAAATATCGTGTGCGACCGGCGATGTATCCTCAATGTTATAAAGCAAAATTTTCCCCTAAACTAATGCAGTGGAAAATTAGTGGAACTAAAAAAATAAATAAAAAATTGTAGCAATATTTTTTGGATGTGAACTACGAAACTGCTTAACGGCGTTTTCGCGTAACCTTGAGAACAACCCAGCATTTTTATGTTTTTTATTTTTTTTTCCAATAGTCTAGTGAATGACATCCTCTGAAAATAAGGAATCTCGTTGCTGCGAGCGGCTTCCCGGACGCGCATGTACCGTTTCCCGTGCCTTCATGCTAGAGATAAAACATTATTAGTGATCGAAATCAGATAAATTCACGTTAAAAAGCTATAAAGTATATATTAACTATTTTCATAGCTCTATTATACACACGCGTAAGGATCGATAAATTATCCTCTTTAAATCAGCTTGCTTGATTACGAAGTTACAGTTACTGAGGTTGTGATGTGTTGTTGTTCAGAGGTCACCCGTGAGCTGTCCCTGACCGGGTCCGGCTCGACGGACAGCGGGGGCCGCGCGGACTCGCTCGACAAGCACTCGGACGCGCGCTGGCCGCGACAGAACAGCGTGAGTACCGCTCGTACAGCCCGCATTGTCATCAGGTTTGAGCCCCGTGAGCTCACCTACAAAAGTTAGGTTTACGCTGAAATAGCCTCTCAAGGCTCTCAGCTTAGGTAGGAAAAAAAAAAAAAAAACAGCCCGCCCCCACACAGGGGCCGCGAGGCCGTCAGCGCACTACTGGGGGTGTGATGGTCAGTGTGACTGTGAGACCTTAGCGATGCTCGTCGGGTACGGTGGTCGATGGAGGATAGAGAAAAACGTCTTTTTATCTCATTAATTGTACAAGCCTTCAGTGAATCAACGGGCGTTGCCATAAATACAAATACATATATTAACTAGCAGACCCGGCCACACGTTGCTGTTGCTAAGGTTTTTGTTTCTAAATAACACGCGGCCAGCTATGCTACCAAAAATTGACAAAGTAAGAACAATTGGATTTCACTGTATTGCGTTTACTACGAAATAAATTTCACTTATACTTTAGCCTCAGCAACACGTAGTGCTTATGCCATTAAATTGTAGCTTATGTGAAACGTTGGTATTTTTAACACAGCGCCATCTATGAGATATTAATGTCAGACATTATTACAATTGTGTGTAAAAACTGATTTAAGGCGCCATCTGTTTTAGAATTATGAAACTTACAATTAATAACAAAAATTAACATAAGAAATCATTTTATTGTTAATTAATAAATATTGCGACTATTAATCTAAATAAAATCATCCTATCTTTCAAGTAGGATCAAACTGCACACGGTGTGCAAATTTAATTTAAAATCGATTAAGTAGCTTAAGAGTACATCGCGGACAAACAACGTGACACGTGATTTACATATATTAAGATTTGTATATACGGATTGTTTTGAGAAATTGTGAAGATGCGTCATCTACTGGTATTATAGTAACTCCCGCCACTGGAGCAGAATTCATCTTCAATACCAGAAACCGGTACGTACCCTTGAGGTCTGTAATGGACTCCACGTTGTTTCATCCTGAGAAGAAGCCTCGGCTGATGATAAGAAACAACCCATGTGTACTTTTTATTTTAACAAGTACATGTTCTGTGAGCGCGTAATTAAATCTAAGCTTATTCACTTACATGACATGAGACCACGGGGTCGTTGACGCCGCGTGAACTGTGATGATAAATTGCGATACATTGCGCGTTATAAGCATAATAGTATGCATGTGTTTATTTTGCAGGAAAATGAAGTAAACTGAAAAGTGTAAAACAGACAAACAAATAATTGAAAGTATGAAGATAAAAGTATTTCATTTAGTGAAATTAAAAAAGTACAAAAATTTAATAAAAGACACACATCTGCAATAGAGCTTATAAATTATGTATACGTTAATTATAAATGCGTTTTTAGAAACAAGAAGTAATATCTTGTTAAAAAATAACATTGCCCCCCAGAGGGGGTTCTTCAGGATCAATCTTTAACAGTGAGGTTTATTCACACTTAAGATTCTATGGTCTAAACACAATTCTATGATACTTAAAGCGAAACTCGAGGATCCGTACAAACGGTAAAACGGACTTAAAAAGCACGCTGAATCCAACCGACAGAGTTTCGGTACACGAGCGCGTCACAAAATTTACTGGTGGTAGGACGTTTTGTGAGTCCGCACGGGTAGGTACCACCACTCTGCCTATTTCTGCCGTGAAGCAGAAATGCGTTTCAGTTTGCAGGGTGGGGCAGCGGTTGTACTATAAAAACTGAGACCTTAGAACTCCTATCTCAAAGTAGGTGGTGGCATTTACGTTGTAGATGTCTATGGGCTCCGGTAACCAATTAACACCGGGTGGGCCGTGAGCATGTCCACCCATCTAAGCAATAAATAAAAAAAATTGAGAGCCATGTAACTTTTCCGTATTGCTTTTTGTGGGCAGCGGCAACTTTCCTTCACATAACAAAATCAAAAAAATATCAACGATAAACCTGGAAGTGCTCCGCAGAACGTTTATTAAAATAGTGACTAATGAGGGGTCTTACTCAATTTACCGGGCGAGTAGATGAATAGGCGTGTAGCTTACGGGGCTCTGACCTGGATCGTGTTATAAGGATCAATTTCGCAAATAATATATTTTTTTCCCCTACCTATGCTGATAGCCTTGAGAGGCTGTTTCAGCTTCTCCTGGACGTGACCTCACGGGGCTCAAACCGGGTGTGTTGCTAACACTGGTCCTAGCAAGAGCAGTGCTTCGCAGAATCTACCACCGTATCGGAAATGCGATCCACTGAGAAGATCCGACGAGAAACTCAGTGGGCTGGGTTTATGGGTTAATTTACTCGTCGAGCCCTTCATCGCAAGCGACGGGTTCGGCGAGGACGGTGACCGGTGCTTGAGGTACCTAAAAGCACCGTTAATGGATCAGGAGGATCCGTAATGACGTGTTTTGCACGACGTCGACTGTTTTCCATTCAGTCCACAGGATCTGGTATGTAAGTACCAGCGGCCACGACAAGAGGGTTTTCATGTCGTGCCGCCTTCTCAAAGTGGCGCAATGATGCCGACTGTAAATACTTACTGACAGAGTCAAGCTCATCATGGAGATCCACATTTCTTAGGAACCATGGTGCCCCGACGGCTATCCTGCAAAAGCGGGATTGAATGACTTGGGATATAATTAGCACAGTTACTATTTAATAAAGATTTAGACCTCGAGTGTCAAGGATGATGGTGGCATTCATTGCTTTTTCCAGGTGAGCCTTGAGGTCGTTCCTTTGGCTTACAGACCCTGCTCAACGTATTCGTCGAACTCGGCAAAAAGTTCGACTTACAACCTAACTCATGCATCAGCCCGTTGAGTTTCTCTCAGGATCTTTTCAGCGGGTCGCGATTCCAATCCGGTAGTAGATTCATTCGCGAAGCAGCTGCTCTTGAGTTGTTAGGTCTCCTTCGGAAGCGCTCGGGCACCTGTTAGGTAATCCCACCCCTCCTGGCTGAACATTCGCTCGCCCCTGTTCTGGAAACTATAGGCCTCCGGGCCACCAATAATCCTTCAATAATAAAAAAAGGTCATTCACCCGACCAAGCGGATTGTCGGAGTAGCCGCAAAGCATATAACAATAGTGTAGTCGCAGAGCTCCCCGCTCAGTACTAATTAGTCATGTCATTGATAGTGTCCTTAGATAAGGCACAACTTGTTACTGATTTATTCTCGCTGGGCAAAGCGACCGCTCATATTCTTACATCTCTATATATAAAAATGAATTGCTGTTCGTTAGTCTCGCTAAAACTCGAGAACGGCTGGACCGATTTGGTTAATTTTGGTCTTGAATTATTAGTGAAAATCCAGAAAAGGTTTAAAAGTTGAGAAAATATATAAAAGATTTGGTTTTTCCTTTGATGTGTCCCCTTGATGTGTCTTTTATTTATAGATTGAGGTACTACGAAGTCTGCCGGATCAGCTAGTTACTAATAAATTTAATATGTCGGCGCAACATCACTATTTAAACTAAAAATAGTTAAATTTAACTGGTTCCTTGACGTTACGCATGTAAACACGTGCTTAAGACGGTATTCAGGAAAATACACGACTAAGCTACCCCCACTTTCTGCTATAAATACGAGTGACTATTGTCGCACAAAACGTTCTCGTTAGCGTAGAAGTTAACTCAAATTTGTGTGGAGTTGGAACCTTTGCCGCTAGGAGCGCGTTTGTAATTAACTTTTACGCAAGTATGAGTTCACTTTTACGCAATCGAGAAAGTTAAAAAACTCGCACTAAGCATACTGGTCCGAAGAGTGGGTCGGCCGTTCCAACTTTTTTTTTATTGCCCTTGTAGGCAGACGAGCATACGGCTCACCTGATGGTGAGTGGTTATCGTTGCCCATGGGCTTCAGCAATGCCAGGGGTAGAGCCAAGCCGCTGCCTACCGCTTAATACTCTCCACAAGCCTCTTCTGAAGAAGAACATGTCATAGCGCTCGGGAAACACCCTGGAGGGGAGCTCATTCCATAGCCGGATGGTACGTGGCAAAAAATACCTCTGGAAACGCACTGTCGATGAACGCAGTGGTTCCAGATAATATGGATGAGCTCTGCTCCGATGGCGGGAGGTGCGATGGTAAAAGGGAGATGAAGAGATCATCTCAAACAATTCCTCAGAGCACTGAGGCTTAAACTTCATGAATCAAAGTAAATTGGACCTAGCCAAGTGCAACAAAATTAAAGTAATTCAAAAATTGTTCTCACTTAACTGACTTCTTAGCGTCGTTGTGCCATCAACCCATATTTTACTAAATCGATTTTGTATTTTCCCATTATAAAGCATTTATCGTATCCACAGTCGATATTGGGTATGTAACTCTGGGCATCGACTGTATTTAACATTCTCGCTGCGATAACAGCCCACAATAATTGTAATGATAAACAACTCGAGCAATAATTATTCAGTCGTAGAATTATAATCGAAACTCGCACTAGTGTAAAAACAAAAGGGCTATTTATTAGGTAAAATTGCGGGTAGTTCGAAGGATTTTGTTAATTAAATTTAGTTACGAATATATAAACAGAATAGATTAAAATTTGTGTAGGTATTTATAAAGTTTTGCATGATTTCATAGTGAGCTTCTGGTTGAGTTTTGTTTTGTTACATTTTTGATGTGTCCAAATCGTGTTTTGTGACAAAAGCGATGATCCGCCACCGACGTCGTATGTTTGAAGAAGTAAGTAATTAATTAGTGAACATTTAAATTGTTTTACTCAATTATAATGGCCGCTATGGGTAACTTACTTTGTGTTTCGGACTTTATTTATTTATTTATATACACAGAAAACAAGACATAGTACAGAGTAATAGGAAAATTATGTACAAAGGCACTGCTTATTTCTTTAAGAAATCTCTTCCAGCAGACCTGCGGGAGGATAATGAGAATAATAATAAAAAGTGATGAGTGTGTGTAGAACAAATAACACATAACTAAAATAACAAATACAACATGAGAATTATAGTAATGCACATACACATAGCAAATATAAGTAACAGAGTAACACAGTTTAGTTGTAATACTACATTCCTTTCTCAGTCAAAAAGTATTATATATAGGCATATAGACTCCAAAGATGCAAACATATTTTTCGGAGATTTCTTCAGCAGGAATGCGTAGCCTTGTGACTTACCTGGTGGTTAATATTATAAATTGTAAGGCATATTTGCATTGTGGCCGTATTGTTCGTATCGTGGTGACCCTAATTGCACTGGGTCAAAATACCCAGTAACTGATACTAACTATACGGCCCTATGAATAACTGATACTAACAAAATAAAACTACCATTTAATTTTTAACATGACATTGTTATACCGTTTTTGTGCAAAATTATTGTTAATTGCAATTTATGTATTTTAAGATCAATGATCGTATAGGTCTGCTGCAACAATAGTTAGACTATTGAAGCGAAAGTAATAATATTATTGTGTTATTATTTTACCTCGATACGTGAGCAAATCATTTTAATAGGTTTTCTTGATGCTGGTGAATGTATCGTAAAAATATTCATTTGCGTGAATAAACACAGGTCAATTAAAAAAGAAGCTACCAATGATATTAACTTTTTAACTGACTTCCAATGAGGGCTTTCTTCGTTATGTACGTTTTGTATTCGGGGTCATCTTTTAATTTATTTATTTTTTGCCTATTCCGAATCTGCAACTTAGGGACTTTGAAAATGTTGAATTTTTTGTGTTACCGGATACACGGACTAGTCTACAAAACCGAGAACAGAAGTCTGATCCAATAGTGCAGTAGACATTGTCACTAACTTTTTTTTTTGTTTTTTTTTTTTATTGCCCTTTTAGGCAGACGAGCCCACCTGATGGTGAGTGGTTACCGTCGCCCATGGACTTCAGTAATGTCAGGGGCAGAGCCAAGCCGCTGCCGCTGCCTATCTATCAATTAGCCGATTGTTAATCATCAAAAACGTTTAAACTATCCGAACAGACGATCAGGCATTATTTAAATGAACATTATTTTTTTCTACAGTTGTCAATGAAGGAATGGGACATACCTTATGACGATGTGAAGATATTCGAGGTGATAGGGGCTGGCAGGTTCGGCACCGTCTGCCGGGGCAGCTGGCACGGAGCCGTCGCCGTGAAGTTGCTGCACGTGCTGCCGCTCAGCGACGACGGCTCGCTGCTCGACACCTTCAAGCATGAGGTATCCCCCCTTACGAGCCGGAGAAATCCCTTCAAGTACATATGAAACACATCGGGCCTTTAGAATAATAGAGATCCAGCCCAGAAAATGTATTTTTTTTCGGAAACATGAATAAAGTTTTCAAACCGAAAAGACGGAGTGAAAGAGACCGATGGATAAGTTTGTCTCTTTTTATGCTACTTTTGATCACATAGACATCTACCACGTAAATGCGCCACCCACCTTGAGATACAAGTTCTAAGGTCTCAGTATAGTTACAGCGGCTGCCCCACCCTTCAAACCGAAACGCATTACTGCCTCACGGCAGAAATAGGCGGTGGAGGTACCTACCCGTGCGGACTCACAAGAGGTCCTACCACCAGTAATTACGCAAATTATAATTTTGTTGAGTTTTGTTGTAACGTGTGGACGTTGTCGCCGCTCGTTGGTGTTAAGTGGATCGCAGTCCATAGAGGCTGCTATTTTGCGAATATCAGTGTGATCAATAAATTTTTTTATAGATTCTTGGTACAAAATTGAATGGGAATCGAAAAATTTGGCAATTGATTTGAACAAGTTACAGACGGACTTGGTATTGTGGGAGTGAGGAAAGTGAAGCTATTGGAATTAGTTAATAATAAAATGCCTTAAACAAAGATAAAACAATATGTTTTTGGAACTTGAAATGTAAGGCGTACAAAACGCCGAGGTCGATGACCGCCCACTATACGTCCCGTAGGCATCGTACCCACAAGGACAATTTTTTTAACTCTGATTTAGTGTCACGCTTCTATTTTGTGTAGTAAATTAAAATTTACTCATCATTAATGTCGATTAGGTTTCAATATTCCGGAAGACCCGTCACGAGAACCTGGTCCTGTTTATGGGGGCCTGCATGAAGCCGCCCCGGCTCGCGATAGTGACATCATTGTGCAAGGGCATGACGCTCTACACGCACATCCACCTGCGGAAAGACAAGTTCACCGCCAACAAGAGCGTGCTCGTGGCGCAGCAGATCTCACAGGTGAGATTGTTGGTTATGAGTCGGCGAAACTTTTTTTTTATTTTTTTTTATTGCCTTTGTAGGCAGGGGGGAATAGGGACTAGGGGTAGGTTTTTACTGGTGGTAGGACCTCTTGTGAGGTCAAACGAGTAGGTACCACCACCCCGTCTATATCTGCCGTGAAGCAGTAATGCGTTTCGGCTTGAAGGGCGGAGCAGCCGTTGTAACTACACTACCTTAGAACTTACATCTCAAGGTGGGTGGTGCATTTACGTTGTAGATGTCTATGAGCTTCAGTAACCACCTAACACCAGGTGGGTTGTGAGCTCGTCCACCAATATAAGCAAAAAAAAAATTTGAAGGGTTCTCTCACCGTGGCCGTTCGTCATAACCCACTCAGAGTCGCTGGCGACGTTTACCTTGCGATATCTATGGGCTCTGGTAATCAGCTAACACACCAGGCTGGCCGTGAACTGTGTTCATCACAAGTATGGTATAAGGAGTATCGCATAGTGAATAGCATCTGATGTTACAGCATTAAGAAGTTTTTGCGTAAAAGAGTACCAGAAATCCTTGATTCCTCAAAAGATTCCGCGTTTAAAATACGAACCAGGGTATCATTCAGAATGTTCTCGACGAAAAATTGGTTTGTTTTTCACAGGGTATGGGCTACCTACACGCCCGAGGCATCATCCACAAGGACCTGAAGACGAAGAACATATTCTTAGAGAGCGGGAAGGTGGTCATCACGGATTTTGGTCTCTTCAGCGTCACTAAATTGTGCTTCGGGAATAAGTTAGTAGAGTTCAATCAAGACTTTTTGACGTGTCAAGCTATGTTAATTGTTTTAGTTTTAAGAATATAGTCTCTCTTATGAATAAACGTGTACTGGCTGTAGTTCATTAAGCTCTCACTGTATGTGAAAGAGCGCTGTTTGTAGAGAAACATAATCACTGGATATGACATCCAAATGACCATTGAACTCTCAGGAGTTTTCTGTCATTGTACTGAGAGATTAAAATCCACTACCTCATCGAATACCTGTACGGTGTGGTCTCATCTTACAGCATTTCCATTTTATTTCACTCTTCGTGCAACAGCAACGGGTTTTGGTTGGCTGTATGAGCTTCGATCCCTTTGCTTGTCCAATAAACCAATAAAAATACTAAAACAACGCAGCTCTACTCACTACGCATCTATTCGAAGTGGTGAATGGGACTTTTTGGCAGGAACGCGAGGAGTGAAGTTATGTGATTTGTTTTATTTTGTCTATTTAGTGTTTCTTCAGGTTTAAATGTGTAATAACGGTGGTTTATAAACTGTTTTATATCTGTGAAAGTGCACAAATGTGGGAAAATGAAACAAAGCCGCTGAACGTAACTTCTCGGGATCCTCCAAAAAGTCCACTGAAAAAGTCTCTGTAAATGACCACCATTTTACTGAGATTATATTTCATCCCATACTATCTGATCTCATTTCATTTCATGCCATGTTTCATATTAATCGACTTCATTTCATTTCATAATATCATTTTTACATAAAAAAAAACATTAAAATTAAAATAAGACTTGACCTAAAGGTCTTAGTTACGAGGTCATAAAATCCCTTAAAAAAAAAAGAAGTGGTGAATAGACTTGTATCCGCAAGTCAGTGCGGCGCAGTGCGTTGTACAATGGGTGCTCCGGCCATTTAGAATCGGGGCGCTTAAACTGTCCCGCCCCAGGACGGACGACTGATGCGTGTTGTTCCGCAGCGCCCGCGGCGACAGTCTCGGCATCCCGTCGGGCTGGCTGTGCTACCTGGCGCCCGAGATCATCCGCGCCCTCCGCCCCCACGCCTCCCTGCTCCTGCCCTTCTCGAAGGCCACCGACATATACGCTTTTGGGTGTGTATTCATGTTCTTGTTTTATTTTTCATTTCTTAGTATGTGATGCTCTTTTAAAGTGATCACTGGGGCGCATAGACGTCAATCTCAGTCTCAGTTTTTACAGTAAAGCGACCGCCCTTCAAACCGAAACTCATTACTGCTTCACGGCAGAAATAGGCAGGGCGGCGGTACCTACCCGTGCGGACTCTACCACCGGCAAGGAGGGGTCTAATTCAGGTGTAATTAGAGAGAGACCTAAATAGGATGAGTGGAGAGTACTTAACGGTAGGCAGCAGCTTGGCTCTGCCCTTGGTATTGATGACGTTCTTGAGCGACGCTAACCACTTATCGTCAGGTAAGCCGTATGCTCGTTTGCCTGCAAGGGCAATAAAAACATTACTACCGTCAAATAAAAAATCGTAGATTTGGCTCGAAGGACCATCACCATATTCTTTAAACAAAAACATGTCTAATTATACTATTTAAAAAAAAATACATTAGATTATTCTATTTACGCAATTTAATTATACTGTCCGTATTTCAGCACGGTTTGGTACGAGCTCCTTTGCGGTGAATTTCCCTTCAAGGGCCAACCTCCGGAGTCGATCATTTGGCAAGTCGGTAAGGGCGTGAAGCAGTCCCTTGCGAACATGCAAGCTTCTAGGGATATAAAGGTAAAAAGTACTTATTTGTATTTAAACTCAAAATGAAGGTAGTTTTTGAAAAAACTTATCCTCGGAGCAATATATCGTATATTATGTTTTCCAGCCCGCAATCTACACGTAGGCAGTCACACAATGTGTCATTGACTCCGCGTGACTGCTGATATTAAATTGCATTACATTGCGCGCTGTAAAAAAAAAACAAAAGTCGAAACAATTTTTCGGTTTCGGGTTCTTTATACCCGGTTTTATTATCCGTGCGTAATAATCTTATCATTATTCTAACTAACACTAAGTACACGCGATAGCTGAACCGTAATTGGATTGCGAAACGTTATCGGAAGTTTTCTTTTATTAGCTTACGGACGCGGATGAGTTCAAGGCCCAATTGTTGGTAAGTCGTCTGTAGATGAAACACGGCAACCATGCATGTCCTGTCCACCCGTGTTTTGTAGACAATCATGAGGTCGTGGGGTTTTCATTAACGTGATAAAAGAAAAATATAGAGAAAAAAGGATCAAAGATATCCTTAGTTTCTTAACTGTTTGTGCCTTGCCAGGTATTTTGTAAATCGAATTTCTGTAACGAAATTGGAAAATTACCATAAAGTCTTAATCACTTAGAGTTGTATCTGTGTCAGTTTTCAAGCTGCAAATCTATTTAGTGGAAATAATGATATAAAAAAAAACGAAATATGAATTTTTCAACTTAATGTTGATCACTAAACATATTTGTAGCTGAAGCAGTAGAGTTAAGATTTGCATAACGAATAGCGTTAGTAATTAATTTAATTATTTTATTACAACGCCATCTGTTGTAAAGGAATCATAGTAGAATTCGTAGTTCGAGTAGAAGAAAAAGAAACTACTATCTTGTCAAGAAAAATCTTGTCAACATTTAAAAGAAGCTCGATTATTTCTTTGTTTCCGAGAATTATTCGAATCTTGAGAAACGGGAAACATAAAAAGATAATGCACTTGAGCTATACTTAGAAATGTTTGGAAGATTTTAGAAAGAAAAGTATTTTTTTTTTATCTCAATACGACATTCTAGATATTGCATAGTTACCATAAATATTACGTGCGCACATGAAATAGTTCTGCGAAGCACTGCTCTTGCTGGGGCCAGTGTTATTAATATTTCTTTTCGTGTCTTTTCTCACAGGACATCCTGATGGTATGTTGGTCGTATCGTGCAGCTGACCGTCCCGATTTCCCGTCTCTCCTCAACACTCTACAGAAGCTTCCCAAGAAGAGACTGGCGCGCTCTCCATCCCACCCCGTGCACCTGTCCAGGTCCGCTGACTCGGTCTTCTGAGGAAGACCTCCCCAGTGCAACTCGCCGGACTTCGGGCGCTCAGTGCAGTCGGTGCCGAGATACGTCGCTTTCGAGATCAATCTATGAGGTTCGGTTGTGCGACTCTGGACACTAAGTTCACCGCGTTAAGGTCCAAAGTGGTCATACGTTCAGAAAGAAATTACTATGGAACCGCCTTTAAATCGGTGTCTCATTTCAGTGATAGTTTTACTTTAGTTATGATTTGCCCGTGCGATTCTTAACTCTCAGTAAATTCAATCGAGGTGGAAATTCTAGGTCCTGGTTATTTACCGAATCGAACCACTTTGAAATTCTGCATAATGGTCTATGTAGCTAAAGAGCTGCTTTAGAATCTGCCTCAAACAATTCCGATTGATATCAACTTGAAATAATTGGAATTTATTAAGAATTTCAAATTATATTGAAGTAGTTTTGTTCTTGTATGTTTGGGTATACACCCGATTGTTTGTTTAACTGGTCTTTTTTTACAAACAATTTAAAGGCAACGATAATGATATAACATNCGACACCTTGCACACTAATTAAATGTTTATTAAAATTTACACTTAGTCCACACGAAAATACAACACGGTCTATATTATTAAAATTATGAAGAATGGAAGGTTATGAGCACTGAAGAGATTCAGTTTATAAACAGTACACAGAAGACACTTTACACGACAGTACAGTAACGATAGACACAAAGAAAGCGCGTTATCACAATTGAGGCAAAAGCTTCGAAAACAATACAACAGTATATAATTAGCAAAAGCGACGTGCGTTCAGTACGAGGTAAGTTTCGACTGGGGGCGTGGCTAGCCGCGATCAGCTGCGCAAGAGTATATTTTCCAGCTACCCGCGACATTCCGTTCAAGCGCGCGTGTCCACAGCGCAAACGAACGGGCGACCAGCTGATTAACGTGGTACGATAAATTGTCGTGTGTGTATGTCTGTTTTATATGTAATGTAGTAATAATATATTAATAGATATGTTATATGTGTCAATGTATATTCTGTGTGTATTAATAATTATATGAAATAAATATATTATATAAGTTTTATATTGTGAAGAGTTTATATTGTGTTATATGTGTGTGCATGAAATGTGGGATAAGCCCACACAGTAATAATCAAATGTTTCACCTGAACTTCTTCGTTGAATTGTCAATTGCACAAATCTGTGCATCTTAAAATTTTGTCAATGCCTCGTTGTCCAGTCACAGTTGAGGTAGACTGAATTGGAGATCAAGTCATAATAGTTTTTCCATGTGATTCTGAACTTAACTTACAAGGAAATACAGTCGATTTGTTTGGCAATGTCTGTTTTAAAGAAAACCAAAGCCGGAGCTACTGTATTAATTTTTGTTATGTCAGGCAATTTTGGACCTTACGAATGACGCCTCCAAACATTTTATTACATTGCACTTACGATATAGCTACAATAAAAACAATTACAAAACGTATGGACGTTAACTGAAGCTGTTTTTGAGTTAATATGTATAAGCACTTCGATTTTGAGATTATCGCTAAGGTTCACCACAAACTTACGGTCGAATAAACGGGGACTGCCGCCTAAAAACGAAACGTAAAACGAAATGTTCCTAGTCTTAACAAGACGTTCAGTAAAATAAATTAGAATTTTTGTTTAATTGAAGGACGAAGCATTATGTACTAATTATTATTTTCTGTATTAAAAAAAAAACGAACTATCCAAATAGTGTTTTATATTGTTATTTATGAACTGAAGAAATTTATAGCAGTACATGCTATTAGATAGTAGGTGAAGAATTTAAATGTGTTAAGCTTAAAACTCAGTGTAACCCGAAAACGTATTGCCCATGTGAAAGTAAATAGATTTTATCTGATAAAATACCCACCCAAAACATTGTTTTGTTAATTGATGTTGGAAGTCAGTCCTTTGGAATGCATTACTCACTACAGGAACTAGCGGAATGTACGTATCAGAACACTGGCTCAAAATAGGACTTATGTACCTAAAAGTACATACTACTTAATTAGGAAATTTAATATTCTGATTATTTATTTTTTCTTCTAAGCAAAATTTTATTTCTAAACATACAACATATTTATAACTTGATAATTAAAATCTGAAAAAACCAATAAACTCATATATATATTTTTTATCAGATATAAACTTAATTGTTATTACAGATTTTTTGTACTTTGAAGAAGTTAACTCCCAAATTTATCTTTCCTTTAAGATGTAATTGCATTCATATAACAAACGGGTTAATGATACTTAGTGTATATTAATAAATATTGTAAAATATGTAATAAAGAACTTTGTAAGTATAAATATCTTGATCTCTTTTTAACAATAGAATTAAATTATATTTTGATATTTAATTATTGATTAAAAGANTTTTTTGTACTTTGAAGAAGTTAACTCCCAAATTTATCTTTCCTTTAAGATGTAATTGCATTCATATAACAAACGGGTTAATGATACTTAGTGTATATTAATAAATATTGTAAAATATGTAATAAAGAACTTTGTAAGTATAAATATCTTGATCTCTTTTTAACAATAGAATTAAATTATATTTTGATATTTAATTATTGATTAAAAGAAAAAAGATACATGAGAATTGACTGCTTTGTTGATATGAAAAATTTAATATAATAATATGTAAATAAATGTGTACAGTGTTACGTATTTTATGCTGTGATTCATATTCTATAATCTATAGCATTGTTTTTTTAATACTTTTGCCTCGATCTTTAACAGAAAGTAGAAAGTTGAGTTAGTGTAAATAAAACTTATTGTTGTTTAATTAAATTATAACATACATTCAATGGAAATTAAACCTGACCTATAACTCCAGTTTGAAGTTTGGGAATGTCAATTGTTAAAAGTCAAAGTCGAACACAGTTTGACCCATACAAAGTTAAAAAACTTGTTTGTTCTCACCTTTGTAACTAAAATAGTTTAAAAGAAAAATTACATACTTACTTTAATAAATTGTTGTTAAAAGACTAAAAAATAATTGAGATGGAATTTAAATAAATTCACCATTGCAGGAACGTGTTGAGAAATAACATAAAAGTGGAAACATATTAGAAATAGTGAAAAATAAGGGTATTATTTTTGCTGAACGACCAACTCAAGTTTGTTGAATTTACATAAGAAAATATAGTTAAATTAGTCTTAAATTATAATTAAAGTGTTCCGATGATAATGTAAATATTGTTTGATTCTGTGACTACATTTTTAAAGAGTTCTGAAGTGAAAAATCTTTTAAAATGAACAGCAAGAAAAAATATATAAACCTATACGAAGACTTTGTTATTATGTATATATTGTGGCTTTGTTCAAATTTAATATGAAATGTATTTATGTCATAAGTATTGGAATGCTACATGTCCTGAATAAAACATAGCAGTTTTCATTATGTATTCAGATTTCATAATTAGATTAGCATTTGCCAAAATAAAATTTCCGTCACTGTTTTAGTTTTGTTTCCTTTACGGGATCTGCTTGTAGTCTACCTACCTATATGCAAAATATCAATTGAACATTAGTCAGGTTCTCTCATTGAATTTTTTTCTCAATTCGACTGGGTATCCGTAAACGAATTCCGTAGAAGGTTCTCTCATTTATGTTCAATCTGAGAGCTGACTTCCATTCACCACTAGAAACTTAACATATGAAATTCTGTATGATATTATAACTTTATAAATGTTTTCCTTTCAAATGATTTTTCTGGGACCCAGAACATGAAACCTTAAAATTTTCTTAATTGAATTTTTTCTAAATGTTCATAAAGTTCAAAAAAAATTTTCTTAATTGAACTTTTTCTAAATGTTAAGTTTCATAAAAAGAAAACAAATTTCTTTAATAAGGTTTTTCTTTTATTTTAGCTTACATGACCTGCGAGTAAAACTGCTATGTTCTTACACATACTTTTAATTTCATCGTTACTCAAATATTCTGAGCCCAAAATCGCGTTTCCTAGAGCCAATGTCTCTCTCATAGTGTTTGCTTTGATCCAAATCCTTCCATTCATGCCAGCTGCTAATTCAAATGGCCATTCGTTCTTTAATGAGTTCAATAATGGACAATGTGGGTTTAATATTTTTCTGATTAAATTCAACGAGCATTTGAACACGAATCCTTCTTCTAATACTCCTAGTCGGCCTTTTTTTCCATGCGAATCAACGCACACAAGCTCAGGTTCCATATCTTTGCTTGCGTTTAACATTTTCGCGTATACAACATCGCCTGTTTTGATTGCGGGACGGTTTTTCTTCGTTGCTCCTTCGAACGACAGATATGACAGCGATGCGGCACAACTCCCCCCGACGTCCACACGGAAAATATCGCCCGCTTTCTGTACCACGGTACCGATCACATTTTCACCTCTAGAAGGCACATAGCGCTTCTGATAATTGTCCACCCAGTATGTATTTGGTGTTCGTTTCCGTAATACGCCTGGTTTTNTCTCAAGGTGGACAAAAATGTCTAAGTAATACATAATAAAATATTTAATATTTGTTCAGAGTGGGGGTATTCATCTGATTAATCCATGGAATAACCGACACACCTAATCTCTTAACCCAGATAGAAATATCAGCCCCTAAGTACTTACCAAGAACGGAGAAATATAAACCGTTTCTAAGAAAGCCCACTATATATGTATGTATAAATATATATATATTGTTGTTACTGCACTGTCGATTGCACCTATAATTGAGGTGATGTCTGCCATGTACTTTTGTCAGTTTTTCAATTTTTTTTATTGATGATCACTTTGTTGGTGCAACTAAATAAATAAATAAATTAAAACTATATATAAAAATAAAAGTAGTCCCAACCCTAGCAAATTTCTCATTTCATCCCAATTAACCGCAATTTTCGGGTAAATAGGGATTACACCTATTTTTGCATTTTTTGCTTAAACTGGAATGCTAGTTGCATAATTTTAAATTAGACAACAAAGATGCCAAGACTCAATCATTTTGATCCTGATATAGCATTATATACATCAACAACTACCTTAAAATTGCTCATAAAGTTGGAATTTGTCCCTAATCGCCCCATTTTACGGTACCTAGTGGTTTGCAGTAGTTTGCACATGTTCGCTGTTTACATATCACCGAAAAACTAATTCGGAGTATTAGTTATATTAAAATGCCCGCAGTAATTGAAAATGACGTAATAAAATACAAGGGCAGCAATTACTTTCGTCAAAGATTGCTGCTTTCGACTCTCAGTGGGCGTGCTATTAAAATAGAAGACATTCGCACTACCAACGATGACCCGGGTCTTCGGGAATATGAAGTCAGTTTAATTCGGTTACTGGATAAAGTGACGAACGGCACGAGAGTCGAGCTGAGCGAAACCGGTACTTCAGTATATTACCAGCCTGGTATACTGATTGGTGGACAAGTTAATCACAACTGTTGTACCCAGAGAGGGATAGGTAAGTGGTCTTCAATAAAGTTTCTACTCACGTCAAATACGTTATTAGGAATGTAGCTTTTCTAAATTAGAAGATTATATATTAGTTTGATTACATATGATACAGCTGGAAATTCAGACAATTCAGCATACACATTCTCCTGATACCTAAAAGCATAGAGAGTCTAGTTCAGTGGAGCAAGGCATGGACATAATAAATATTGCTAATTTATACTATAGGATGGGATAATAAATCTTTTGTTAGGCATGCAACCGTCTAGGAGAGTCCAGTTTAAATACTAAAATAAATTTTGACAGAGTGAGGACGCCTTGGTTGTTTTTGAAAGTAGTTTTAGTAACATCAGCTTGACTGACGTAACTATCTAAACTAAATCTAACCATACCATGGTCTGAACATTAACTCAACATTTAAATACTTCATGTTATGTTCATCCTCAGGGTGACAAATTGAAATTAAACAATAAACCTTTTTAGGTTATTATCTTGAAGTTCTGCTAGCCCTGGGACCATTCTGTAAGGAACCTTTAAATGCAGTCCTACAAGGAGTAACCCACAGTGACCTAGATGTATCAGTGGACAAAATAAAGACGGCAGCTCTACCTGTGCTCCTTAAATTTATTCTTGTCGACGATGGCTTGGATCTGAAAATTGTGAGAAGAGGTTAGTTTTGATCAAAGTTATTTGTTAACAAGTAACATGACTTCCTCTAGAAACATTGCTATCCACCAGTGAGATTTGAAAATATAGTTTTAATGCAGTGCCCTAAAGTAACAATGAGTTCCTCAAAAAGTAAATTTGATTAGATAATCTCTTAAAAATGTCTATAATGTTGCATTTTAATCATCAAAATTATTAAATTTTTCAAAAATAACTGACGTTAAAATTTTCATGAATCAAAAGTAAACAATGTGTTTTTTCATGTTGTTTATTAGGAGTTTAAAGAAATTAATTATGTTAATGTTTTGTGTGTCTCCACTTTAACTATCTGCTACTTTTTTAAATGACACATGACAAAATATGTATGTAAGTGGGTTAATAAAAAAATGAATTTTGCAGAAAACTGATCAAATTTGTATTTAGGTATTTTTTTTCTAAGCCGCCGTCGTTTTTGCATATTATACTGTGACATTGGCAAAATGCCTAAGGCGTTGGAGCCAATTTTGTTTATAAAAAAAAGAAAGGCTAATATCTGATATTTCCTTTAAAGAAATTTACAATAACTTGTCACCTATATTACAGGAGCACCACCATTAGGGGGAGGCGAAGTTGTTTTTAAATGTCCAGTCAAACGTCATCTCCGACCTCTACAGTGGACCAAATGGGGTCTTGTGAAGAGAATAAGAGGAATAGTTTATGCTTTAAGGGTGTCTCCTACGATGGCTAACAGAGTTGTTGAAGCTGCTAAAGGGGTGAGAAAATAGTTTTTGTACACTATAAAAGATCAAAGAAGATGAGCCTAACTAGTGTTTTTTTCTATTATATTATTTATCTTTTAATTAGTTTAAGTAGTATCAAGTGGTTAATGGACCTATATACCTAACAACTCTAATTTTGCCACACATACATAAGGGCTAGATTTCAATTAACTAATATCAGAACTATCGTACCTGTAAATTCATTACTGAGTGGTAGTAATAGGCAACGCATTAATAGGCAACGGGCCCGCTTACACACTACAATATTTTTAGATATAAGGATGAGACTATAAAGTAAGTTGATAACAAATTTTTTACGTGACAACGTCATATAATTCGATGGAGCCGGCTGCACGCACTAAAAACATGACTCATGCGGCGTTACCTCGCTCTGAGACGTTCCATTTAAGGCTTGAAGTGAAAGCGAGAGCGCGCAACGAGCGACAATATCTATCAAACAAATAAAATTAAAATTTTCTTTTGAAAAATGAAACCATTCCATCAGTATTTTCTTATGACGTTGTCACTCACATTCAACTATCATCAGTAAACCGATTTTACAGTCAACCGATTTTTTTGAATAACATGTTACATTCATAGACTTTCATCAGTTGTAGGCCATTCTGTGATGTATTTTCTCCAATTTACTAACTCATATTTAAGGAATTTATGATGTGTCTTCCTCTGCAATTCTATAAAGGGGTCACTACATTTAGAATCTTTATATTTCAGGTGATGCTTAATTTTCTACCGGATGTCTACATCAACACGGACCAGTGTCGAGGGTCGAACGCTGGCAAGAGTCCGGGCTTTGGAGTCAGTCTTGTTGCTGAAACCGATGAGAAAACCTTTTATTGTGCTGAAGCAGTAAGTGTCAAATGACTACTCGACTACTGTTTGAGAACTGAAAATGGCTTATGTTTTTTTTTATTTTTAACTGCTTATTTTATGTCTTGATTGATTTGTCATAACAGAGGATCAGAACCTCAATAGACTGGACTAAGTTTCTGCAAATATAACAGCTCACAACTTGTCTCACTGGAGTTGATATAGTTGTCTTAGTGGGCTCTGACAATTTTGCAAAATGTTTTGAAGATCTTGTTGAGTCGCTCTGTTGTTGAACAACTTGGCCCTTTACGAACCATGTATTTACATTAAATCAATGACTGGGATTTCCAACAATATTGTAAAATCTCATTTATAATTACATGGTAAATCTAATTATCTTCATTTATAATTTAGTAAGTAGTTCAGCAGAGAACCTCTTGACTAAATCCTGACTCGTTTTTAGAAATCAGTCGAAGGAGGTAAAGGTGAAATTACATTGCCAGAAGATATAGGCCAGGAGTGCGCACAGAAGTTACTGGACGAGATATACCGCGGCGGTACTGTGGATTCCGCCTTCCAGTGGCTGCTGGCTCTGTGGATGGCGCTCGGACAGAAAGATGTTAGCGAGTGTATTGTAAGTACGCAAAGTCTCTAATGGTAACGCCCTCAAAGATAACCCGGTGAGCTGTGAGCTTGTCCACCCGTCTAAGTAATAAAAAATAGTAAAAAATTAGTACACACTTTCTCAACGGGTCCCACTTCTATTGTTGTATCTATGTTGTTTCCTTTTTATTGCTTAGTTGGATGGACGAGCTCACGGCCCACCTGGTGTTAAGTGGTTACCGGAGTCCATAAACCCCTACAACGTAAACACTGCCACCTGCCTCGAGACATGGTTCGAAGGTCTTCGTTTTAAAAGTACAACGGCTGCCCCACCCTTCTAACCAAAACACATTACTGTTTCACGGCAGAAATAGGCGGGATGGTGGTACCTACCTGTGCGGGGACCCACAAGACATCTTATCGACAGTAGTTACAGATAAAACAATATTATTTCAGGTGGGGCCCCTTTCAGACTACACGATATCATTTCTCCAGCATTTGAAGGAGTTTTTTGGAGTGATGTTCAAGTTAGAAGTCCAACGAACCGACATCGATGATGAGGCCTCTGATGATGAAGATGAGACGTCTGTAGCTCAGAAGATCAAAATGACATGCGTCGGTATTGGATATGTCAATATTAGTAAACGTACTTTGTAATAGATAACAATGTTGTTTTATTGTATTCATTTTATTTATTTTATTTTACTGGTGGTAGGACCTCTTGTGAGTCCGGACGGGTAGGTACCACCACCCTGCCTATTTCTGCCCTGAAGCAGCAATGCGTTTCGGTTTGAAGGGTGGGGCAGCTGTTGTAACTATACTGAGACCTTAGAACTTATATCTCAAGGTGGGTGGCGCGTTTACGTTGTAGATGTCTATGAGCTCCAGTAACCACTTAACACCAGGTGGGCTGTGATCTCGTCCACCCATCTAAGCAATAAAAAAAAAAGTACTAAATTTCTCGGCTTGAAAATAAATATTTTTATTATTATTATTATTTTTAAGTCGAAAAATGTACTTTATGGAAACATAAGTTATTGTAATACTGTATCTGGATGTAATAACTCCCTTTAATTAGCTTTAACTAAGTATTTTATGTAACGAGATCTTTGGGACGTTCGATTAACTTGAAAAATCACACAGGCACTAAGGACATCGCTCTAATATCCGTACTATGGAAAGTAGAGGTAAGGAGAACCGTCTCTGTGTGTAAAAAGTGTCCGTTAAAATCTGCTAAATAAGGGTGGCGCTACAGTAGCAACCGGGTAAATTTAAAAAAAGGCGCTGTGAGTTATTAGAATAATGTAGAGAAATAAAAAAGGACGAATGAACTGTAAGCACTACAAAATGACAAAAAGTATTTTATTTAAAGCTGATAAGAAAATGCAATCGATGTCGCCACGTTTTACCACAGCAATAATTTTAGGTTATATTGACGAAATTAGTTTGGACTACGTAAACATTCTTGTATATTACACTGTCGCTAACTACTCTAGTCATTAAATATATTAAATTTTCTAATTCAGCATACTTCAATCAGTTAGCAACTGCTCAATTCATATCGTGATTTTTGAACTATTATTTAAGTTCTGAAAGTGGGACATTGTTTCAAGCTTCTCCCGAGACAGTTCTCCTTACCTCCACCCTCCATAATCCTGACTATTTAAGCGTGTTTGTTTCATTTTTAAACTAATATAATTATTTATTACATTACTCCATAGTGCTTTAATTACTCGGGTGGCTAAATTTGATAACCATTATGAAACGTATGAGCAATACCAGAAAAATAGTGGTGGAGTGTAGTTAATGTAACATTCAGAAAGAAATACAAATTTTAAGTCTCCTTTATTTCCTTAACGATACATTCAGTGACATTCACATTCCTTAAAACTCAATAAGGCACATTCTAATATTTATAAAAAAAAAAAAAAAAATAATTTTATTTTTAAACTATTATAGATAGGTAATACATAATTTAACATAGTATAAACACTTACTTATTAAAGGTAGTAAAAAACAAAGAGAATTAACAGGTTCCTTTATACTACCCGACATTAATTAGATAAGAATCTATGATTTATGTATTTTTTACAACAATAAGTAACTAGGTACCTACTTAAATGTATTCTGTGTGTGCTGTTGAAACTTTTGGAAAATTAAAAGTTAAAAATATACTAGTTCTTTTTGTTATCTAAAAGACAGCAAAAGTTTTTAACATTGAGTATCATAATGGCAGTGTAAGTTTACTGAGAAGTATCTGTAGCTTTAAGAAATAATTTAATCCAAAAGATGTTATAAGTAATAGAGTTCATTTTCGAAACACTTCCGCGTTTCTTTTCTGAGGTCGTTTAGGACTTATTAGAACTATAAAAAGTAACAGTAATATTTTGACTTAGAGTAATTTAAAAATAATTGACTGGCATAGCTTAATAATTGAACTTGTTAACTCAATTTTCAATAAACATTTTTCGAAAAAAAATGTGATTGATAATATGAAAGCAGCAGTTAGCAGCATGACGTATTGTAACGTTTACATGTTTCGCATTAACGATGCAAGATTTGTGTTTGTGCGAGCAGGACAAAAAATCACATTAGATCTAACTTATTAGAGGCTCGTAATGTATACAAACAAACATACCAACCGTAGTAGCCTCTCACGTGCACTATTCTGCATGTATATTTTTATTCAATAAAATATTTATGGATTTAATTACTTTTAGTTAATGTTAATAAGCACGTTCTCGTGAGCAACGTCTTACAACGTCGTGTTTTTAAAATTATGAAATGGCGCGACGTCATATGACGGCCTCTAGATTATCATATTTTTTTTTATGGGCAAATTCTTATGGCGCATCTACTAAGCGCCGCAACACATTCAATTTTCATAGATTACACCGCCGCGTTCCCTAAAATAATCATAAGATTCCTATGATGTATGTGCGTATTACGGCGGGACGTTTTTAGACGTTGCTAAACTTTGTATGGAAAAAAGGTGCGCCCCAGTAGCAATAATCAGAAATCGTCTTCTCGCATTCGGCTTAACATGTGATATTTTTAATATTAATTAATCTTTGCAACATTTATTTTTTATTTTTTACCGTTACAGTTAAATGATATGTCTTAAGTAAGATACAATTATTTATTAAATTTGTTAATAGTAGTCAAAACATAGGTAAACTTAAAAAAAAAAAACTAAAACTAAGCTAAGCTCTTTTGACAGTACTTATGAGAAACAATACTGGTGATACCAAATGATTCCGCATATTAACTCAATTTCGAATATTTTTGGAAATTGTACACTTTTAATGCGAAAAGACGAAATAAGGTTGCTCACGCAAACGTGTTATTAGAACTTATAGATATGCATTTTATCTATTAGACAATTCATAAGTATTCAATTCATAATTTTGAAAAAATTCAAAATAAGCCCTCCAGTCGTTTACATTCTTTAAATAATTGAGTTTTAACATTTTATATCAGTCAAATATGTAATAGATATCACAAGTCATCAGTAATAGAGTATAAAATATAGAAAAAAAAGGAAATTTTTGTGAAACACGTTTTGATCACAAATATATTTTTTGTTACTAAAAATAATAAATAATTATTTAACACAATACGATCGTTCATTAAGCGCGTTACTGTTAACTATGAATTCGACACATAAATTGCAATTAAGTACAGTCACTAAAAAGAAGTAAAACTCAATTTTATAATACAATTATGGAGGGTAGACGTAAGAAGCACCATCTTGCTTAAGGAGACAAGTTGAAAAAGAGTCCGCCTGTAAAAGGTAAGCTATTGTTGAAAAACTCGTCGAAATAGCGCTAGGGTAGGAAGTGGAAATGATTTAGATAATATACCAATTTTAAATAGAGTTAAGTATGTTGTAAGAGTTAAATATAGTTAAAAATATGCTGGATTTAAAATATTAACTCAATTTTTATTACTATTTAAGTAGGAAGGTTTTTTTTTTCTTTTTCTTAATTTAGTATTCTACTCTAATAGCTTAAGGCGCTTTCTAAAAACAGTTTTGAAAACTCTTTCCACTTACTCCTACGGCGCCACTTTAATTGGCTCGCTTTCAGCGGACACTTACAGCGAGATGGTCCTCCTTAGGTACTTCTATCCTCCATAGATAAAAGTTTTAATTATACTAATTCCAAAAACAACATTTCTGCGTTTTTATTTTATCATACCACGGTCTATGAACGATCGCCCGTACAGCCTAGTTTAAACATCCTTCTCATCACAACCCAGGCCCGCTGACCAATTACATATACCGCCGACGGGATCGAAGCTAAGGCCTTTAGGACATATGTACTCCCAGGCTACGATTGTCTCTCCTTCCATACGCGCACACGATATGAACTTCTTACAGGAGGTCGGGTGAGGGAAGTTACCCACATCTAAGCATTCGATTGTACCTGGAAATATGAGAAAATGTTTACAAGTCTCATTATTGGGCTCGCTGCGGAGTGCTGTTAATTATGTGTATACTAGCTGTACCAGTCCGCTTCGCTGGGCATTTAAAATTAACATTATTATTTTTCACCCCCACAAACATTCTCATCATTAACGCGGCCGCAACTGGTGTAGGGAGTCCAACACTCATATAAATATTAGCCTATCCATTAAGTAATTTATTTTCTACATGGATACCAAGTTTCAATCAGTCAATCGGATGCATGGTTCAGTAGTTATAACGGAACATCCTTAAAAACCACTGTAGATTTATATATTAGTACAAAGACACAAAAATCAAGAGGGTTTTCATTCAAGGAGACCTTTCAAATTATTAAGGCTTTAACACCGATACCGAGCGAATTCGGCCAGAAATTTAGGGTTTTCTGTTTTCCAATATGGAACATATGGACATACACTTGCTAGGTCACACGTTAGTAAGCTCTTCAAGGCTATGAGCTCACCAACCAGTTGGGAGCAGCTGAAAGAGCCTCTCCAGTCTACCGTCTACCATCGGATCGTAATCGTGACTCACTGAGCAAATTCGGCGAGAAACTCTATGGATATATATGGGTTAAATATATATATTTTGGTGTGGTGGTATATAAATAGATATATGTGGGTTAAATTGCATGACATTCGTCGTCCAATGCGACAAGTTTGAATTAAACTAACGCGAGATGAAATCTTAACAAGACTTTCAATAACGTCTATCGTATGCTTATGAAAATTGTAAATGACTGTACCTTTCTCGTGTAGAATCACCTTCGTACCCTCGGCGTACCGGTTGGCTACTTTCTCGTCGCTGTCATCATAATAATCATAATTCACAATGGGCCTGTAAGTCCTCACTGGGGCTCTGGATATCTTCTCGTACAGCTCAGTGGTGGTCCTGGGTCGGACCGGAGTGGACGGTTTGACCGTGGTGGAAGTGGTGGGCCGGGCTGTCGTAGTTATTCTACGTTGGATCTTCTTTCTGAACACTTTTCTTGGTTTCGGCGTCGTTACAGGCGTTAGGTACTGGTATTCTTCTGCGGTAATATTAGAATGATTAAAAGACAGATCAGTGACCACGTTTGAGATTGTCATACCTTTAATATAAATCAAGACAAGAAACAAGATCGGAATTGAAAACAAAAGTTTTTATTGAAAAGACACTTACCATCATAAGTCTTAGTCACAGGTGACTCCAGAAGATAATCCCTCGTAAAGAACGAAGGCTCTCGACTGGCCGGAGAGTAAGTCACCGTCGAATAACCATAATTCTCTGTGCCGTACTTCTCGCTAGACCCTGGACTTCTACTGGAAGACCTCGGAGACACTCCAGTGTACCCTGCATTTACAACACTAGGAGACGAAATCCTCTGCCTCGAAGTGAAGCCAGTAGGGATCGGACTAGCGAAAGTCGAAACTTTGGGCGAAGTGAAATCGGTTGGGTCCTCAAAAATACCACGAGTCGTTTCGAGGTACTCATTCGTTATGGCCGGGTATGGTGTGCTTGAGTATCTACCTGAGCCTCTGCCCACGACAGTGACAACACCGGGAGGAGTCTCGCTTGAATCAGTGGTGGTGGTGGGCCGATATCTGGCACGGCCCGTTTTGGGTGTTTCGAATTCCGTCGTAGATTCGCGAGAGTTCTCCGTCGTCAACGTAGAGTATCCGAACGTTGAGGCTCTGGCGGGGACATACTTGGGCCTCTGCGTTTCAAAGCTCGTGGTTAAGCTCGGCTCGAAATCAGTTGTGGTATAACCGGTCGTGTAGCGCGACGTGAATCCTTCGGGGACGTTAAAACGGATGTTAGTGGACGGTGTCCTGGTCTCTTCGTTGGCTCTGGCTAAAGTCCCCGTTGACTTGGGCTCGTAAACCGAAGTTAGTTCACTGGAATCCGAGGTGGTCGACAGAGTCGAATAACCAGCGAACGTGTTTATTGACGGATTCGTAACTTGGAAGTCTGTTGTTCTTGTTGTTTCATATTGTGTTATTCTGGTGTCCGGATTTGTCGTTTGTTTGAAATCTACGTTAGATACTGTGTCTCTAAGTGTGGGCGTGCTAGGATACTCCTCGTAAGGTGTCTTGTCCGTGAACTGGTTGAACTGAGGGCTGGTGTATTTGAATGATTGCGTTGTTCTTGTGGTCTTAGCTTCGTCGTCATAGTTCTGTGAGACCGGCAGTGGCGCGCTGAAGAGCTGGTGAGCGGCTATTGCTAATGCCGTTTCTGCGTTGAAGTCTGTGAATAGGTAAATATGATTAAAAAAATCAACTGTCTTCTATCGAGAACGTTAAAAAACTCGCACTACGCACACTGTACATGACGTGAAATCCACTTATAGTTCACGTTTTCAAAGTGAGCAGTGAGTTTGTTTGCAATTTGGGGAAATATTTACGCAAAAAGCGCTCTATCGCCAGAGGACGTTGATAAAATATTAGGAACTAGCTTTTGCCCGCGCCTTCGTCCGCGTGGAAAATAGTTCACAGATAATGCTTTAATTTAGAACAAATTTGGTTAGCATAAAAAACGTTATAGTGAGCCAATATATGGACATATGCTATCGCGGACTTTTTTTTAGAACTTTTAAAGTGAAACAATTCTGTCATACATTATTTTAGCGAAACTTTAACCGTTTCTGCAGCGCACGCAGCGGAAGCTCTCAAAAGGAAAAAAAAAAAACGGTTTTGAAACATTCTTTATTGGTGCTCCGCTTGTATTGGTCTTAGCGTGATGTTATTTATCCTATAGCCTTCCTCGATAAATGCGCTATTTAACACTCACTCACAATAATTTTTCAAATCGGACCAGTAGTTCCTGAGATTAGCGCGTTCAAACAAACAAACTCTTAAGTTTTTTTTATTTATTCTTAATTAGGCCATACACCTATTAGGTTAAGTCGGCTCTCTTCAGCTTTATAATATTAAAAATATAGTATAGATTAAGCTCTAGTAATTTGTTTCCTAAAGTACCTTCAACAGCAGTCGTTTTGAATTCAGTGGTGGTTTCCAGGTCCCTGCTCTTCAACTTGAGTAGGTCGTCCAATTGATTCTGTTTGAAACTTGAACTGTATTTCTTGCTCTGTCTCTTGTTCTCCTCTTCGTTTGTCGCTGACGGATTCTGGTCTCCCGGCGACTCCTTTAAAGTCACTAAAGGACGACGTACTTTGTTATTCTTTCTTGTTCCACGTTGTTCTTGATTTGGTTCTTCAATAGCATCTAAGAATAATAAAAAACTCTTATTAAATCCTTTTTCATCAGATTTTTCCTACCTAAGCTGATAGATAGCCTTGAGAGGATATGTAAGCGTAGCCCTAATGTGTAGGTGAGCTCTCGTGACTTAAGCTTGGAGGCGTTGCTAACACTAGCCCTAGCAGTGCTTCGCAGATCGGAAACGCGACCCACTGAGAAGATACAGCGAGAAACTCAGTGGGCTGTGTTTGTGGGTTAGTTTACTTGCTGAACCCTTCGTCGCAAGCGACGGGTTCGATGCGAACGATGACCGGTGCTTGAGGTACTTAAAAACACCGTTAGTGGATCAGGGGAATACAAAACGACTGTTTTAGGAGTAATGTTGTATTTATATTGAAGTTACATTTGTTTCACTTTGTAAAACTGACTCATTCATTCATTCATATCATATCAATGAGTCCGTCATTCGAGGACTTCATCCCTCTTTATCCTATGCATACTTTACAGAATTTACAATGGGGAGTGTTCCGAAGAGTTGTTCAATTTAATAGAAGCCGCTGATTTTCGCAACCGATCGTCTCGCCGGAACTATCATCCGCACCATCTGGATGGTTGGCGTTCCACTACAATGCGTTTTAAAAACAGTTTTCTGCCACGCACAGTAAATCTCTGGAATTCGTTGCCATCAGCGGTCTTCCCCAACAACTGCGACATTGGGTTATTCAAGAAAAGAGCATATTCTTATCTGAAGGGTAGGCAACGCACTGGCGTAAACGCTGGTGACCGTGGGCGGCGGTGAATCACTTACCATCAGGTGACCCGTCTTGCTCGTTTGCCTATTAGTTGTTATAAAAAAAAAAAAAATAATAAGGATTGAAAATATTGGTTGTCTGTAAAGTCGGTTTACGGACGATAGATTTACGTGATAGCGTAATTAGCAGAACTATTCGAACTGCTCGGTCTGACGAAATGCTCTCATCTCTGAGAGATAAATGTGTCACAAACCATCGCTTGGGCCGATCGTGCCTCTCTATCGCTTATTCCGCGTCTCGCTTGCACCCAGACGGAACGTGACACTTTTTCGTGCGTGCAGCCGGTGTTCATTGATTTTTAAGACGTTATCACGTCACAAGTGTATCTACAGTAAAGGTACTGTTGACAGCGGAGATACCGTGTTAATAAATTTACTCTGATTTCTGTATTGTAATGCGTGAGGTATTTTTATAATAAGGACCAAAAAAATCATCTCTTTTCCAGTTCCAGCTAATAAAACATAAAGAGAAACCAACCTGTATCCCCTATATCCTGTAATGGTTCAACATCCAAGATATCTTCAATGGTTGTTGCTTGGCCTGTGGTAGGCGAGGCGGTAGTCGGTTGGGCAGTGGTAATTGGGTTAGGGGTGGTGGTCGTAGGCGTGGTGGTGATCCTGGTAGTCGCTGTCGGTCTCCGCCGGTTGGCTATGCGCAGCGGACGGCGGGTAGTCGTTGACGTGGTCACACTGGTCGTCGATAGAGTGGTAGCTGTTGACAATGATAAGATAGGTTTTCCTTTTAAATGAATGAGCAGTTACGTAGCATAATCTAATCATTGTTTTAATTTAGAAGTGTAACTACATGAGCGCCTAGTTATAAATCGTGATGCCGTCATTTATCTTGAGACATGAGGTCAAATTCACAATTGTAGTACAGCTGTTCAACTTTAGAAGCCAGGCGAATGGCTCCGCGACAATGATAAGCAGGGTGTAGACACCTCGTCGTGGCCTAACGGATAAGACGTCCGGTGCATACGTGTTGAACGATGCACCGGTGTTCGAATCTCAGGCGGGTACCATTTTTTCTAATGAAATATGTACTCAACAAATGTTCACGATTGACTTCCACGATGAAGGAATAACATCGTGTTATAGAAATCAAACCCGCAAAATTATAATTTGCGTAATCACTGATGGTAGGACCTCTTGTGAGTCCGCACGGGTAGGTACCACCACCCTGCCTATTTCTGCCGTGAAGCAGTAATGCGTTTCGGTTTGAAGGGTGGGGCAGCCGCTGTAACTGTACTGAGACCTTAGAACTAATATCTCAAGGTGGGTGGCGCATTTACGTTGTAGATGTCTATGGGCTCCATTAAAAGCCGCCGCCCATCTTAAGAAAGAAAGCCGACTCTGACAAAATTTAAATGAGAATATCATTACAATGTAGGTAGTCAAAGCCATGAATCAACAAATATGAATCATTTAAGACCACACAAAAACTACGTACTGAGACCTTAATACTAATTTAGATTAGACCACACGATCAAAATCCATTTGCCTAGAAAAAGTTTTGAGATGACGCACATAAAAAAATACAGTCTTATTGTAGTCCCCTTTGTTGAAGCCGGTTTAAAACCTCATTTTAATTCAGTGCATCTCTCACAAGATAATTGAATTAAAAATTCATCCACGGACTAAGATAATCTCAGCAACTAAGATTGTTAGATTCGCCGTCGGAGCGTGACACGACCGGAACACGAAGCCGCAAAACGTTTACAAAACAATGAATCATTTCGGTAAGTAAACACAGATTATATTTATCTTCATTGTTTTAAATGCATATCGAGCTATTGTTTTTAGGTTGGTAACACAGAATTTTAATGGGACTTCCCACAACTAAGGTGTCTTGTTGTTATCACCGCAAATTCTCCGATTTCTGCCGTGAAGCAGTAATGCGTTTCGGTTTGAAGGATGGGGCAGCCGTTGTTACTATACTGAGACCTTAGATCTTATATCTCAAGGTGGGTGGGGCATTTACGTTGTAGATGTCTATGGGTTCCAGTAACCACTTAACACCACGTGACGTGAGCTCGTCCACCCATATAAGCAATAAATTAAAAAAAAAACTTTTTTCTACATTAGACTTTGTAAATACGTTCCTTAAAAAAAGAAATTTCATAACAATTTGAGAACTACTGAATATTACATTGATTAATGTTATTAACATGTAATATATAGGCAGGTATACCAGAAACACCTATATAGCATGTCACTCTAAAATCAATCTTATGGTGTAACAATGTTGATATTAATTTACGAAATCCATTGCGCCGCGCCGTGTCGAATAAAGCAATTGGATCGAATTAATCACAACAAATATTATCGTAATATACGGGAGACTTGCGTAAGCATGTATACCGTAGACGTCAAAGACTTGTTCGACTTTTGTTTGTTTGTTTGTGTTTTTTTGTTAGCTCTTGGAACGCGAAATGTCTCAATCAGAGCGTGGGACGCCAAATGTCTCTGAGTTTTGCCAATAGAAAATTGGCTTTCCCACGTAAGCGTATTATTTTTGTATTTCGCAATGATTCCTTTCAAACAACCTATAGGGGTTTTTCTTTTATACGAATTATTTGATTCGAAGATTCTAAGATCTAGCGATTAGCTGCTTGTGCCGTAAACACAGCAGTAATAAAATCGTAAAGTCGTAAAACTAACAGTCTCGGTGATAAAAATAATACGATTGTTTTTTGTTAATCTTTTCGATTACAGCAAAAGCTTACTTCATTCATGTTTTCACTATTTGCGGATGAAGAAAATGCGATCCAATTCCTCCTATATTCGCGGCTAAAAACTTATTTGTTTGTGGATCTAATCCTTTTTGTTATTGCTTAGTTGGTTTTCGAGCTCACGGCCCACTTGATGTTAAGTGGTTACCGGAGCCTATAGACATATAGGTTTCACTTTTAACCACTGCTGCCTTACCCTTCAAACCGAAACGCATTACTGTTTCACGGCAGAAATAAGCAGGGCTGTGGAACCTACCTGCGCGGACTCGCAAGACGTCCTACCACCAGTAATTACGCAAGTTATAATTTTGTGTATTTTATTTTTATTACACGGTGTTATTCCTTCACCGTGTAGGTCAATCGTGAACATTTGTTAAGTAAGAAATTCATTGGAAAAAATGGTACCTGCCAGTGGGATTCGAACACTGGTGCATCGCAACCTACGAATGCACCGGACGTCTTATCCTTTAGTCCGCGACGACTTCATCAAGATCGGCACATACACATTGATAAAAATGATTCCAATATATACGTATCCAATCGAACATCCTTTGCAAACGCATATATAGATAGAATAAAAATAGATTTTATTACAACTACGCCTAAGGTATGTTTTTATTATGTCACCTACGAACGTATTCTATAAAACTTATCCAATTAAAAGTAAATCACAATTCCATATTCAAGGTTTCTGTATTCGCGGCACATTTACGTAACATACACTTCACGAATAAAGAGGTCCTACTGTAATTTTATTATTGTTTAAGCATTCCCTATATCGAAGTCTCAACTGTTTTTATACATACAGCGGCTATCGACTAACCGATTAATTAGCGACCCAAATACCTAGATTTGGGTAGGTACATACCCGTGCGGGCTAACAATGGCGTCTGCGAACAAATAATAACGTAAAATATTATAAGCGTTGTTTGTTTTTGTGACGCGCGTACAAATTACGTAAGCCACGAGAAAGTATTGAAATATAGTGGACCGACTGCTTTCACTCATCTCTCGAAGCTGATTTGCGAGATGCGGTCCGTTAGTATTATTATAATTATGTTTGTGTGAGACGCCGTACGGACGATATTATGTTTTCCTTTTTAATATCAACTAGGTATAGTAAGCGGCACGTAAGTTGGCAAGGTTTTGGTGTAGTGGCGGTAATGTCGCGCATAGTGCACATTGCAACAAAAAAAATGATCACATTTATTGCCCGCATATAATTTTATTTAATTTTTTATTTGCCATAATTTATTTTTAAGCATGTGTGTTTAGAAGAAAGTTAAAGAAAAGAGAGGAATTCGTGAAGTGTATTACTTAGGTGTTATAAATAAAATACAATTAAAAGTTAAGAAGTTTATTTAAAAAAATATATACTTAATATTAAAAATTATGTGTCGCCTGTTATATATAGCTTGTTTTAGAGAATGTTTTTGTCGAAAATTATAATTTGCGTAATCACTGGTGGTAGGACCTCTTGGGAGTCCGCACGGGTAGGTACCACCACCCGCCTATTTCCGCCGTGAAGCAGCAATGCGTTTCGGTTCGAAGGGTGGGGTAGCCGTTGTCACTATACTGAGACCTTAGAACTTATATCTCAAGGTGGGTGGCGCATTTACGTTGTAGATGTCTATGGGCTCCAGTAACCACTTAACACCAGGTGGGCTGTGAGCTCGTCCACCCATCTAGCAATAATAAAAAAAATGCTAATTACGATACAATAATATTTGGACGCGTTATGAGGAAGCACGGATTTGTTTTGGAAGCTATGCGATTTTGTTTGATGAGTAATACAAATATTTCGATTGTAGCTAGTACTATGCAATTTAGTGTTCTAGGTTGTGCTTTCGTGTAACTAGCGCTCGCAACGTGATATTTTACTACGATTCCTTACGAGAGAATGCAAACATAAATCTTACGTACCAAAACAAGTTCAGGTGAAAATTAAAATTTTACAGTTCCATTATTATCTGCTTTGTTAGTTTTCATTGCTGGTGTCGTAAGAGAGATAAGCATACATCCTATCTTGGAGTAAAGGGTTATCTCAGCATATAAGCATAGTTTTTAACGCAGGCACACCTAACGATTTCCAAATTTGAAACTAATTATTTATATCTATATGCAGTTAGCTAGTTATTTCTCTCAACATGGGAACCACCGTCGTTATCATGTACAATATATAGTAGTTAAAAAAAAACTATAAAACAACTATATTTTTAGTTCGATTTTCTATAAAAGCGTGTTTTTTAGTTATTTTTAAACTTTTTTTATTATTTTATTTTAAGTAGCGTTATCTGTCGTAAATTATTCATTAATGTACAATTCACGCAAATCCATGTTTTTTCCTAAGTGAAAAAAAGAAGGCGCTCAAATGAATTTCTTGTTTTGACTGCCGAAAGTAAATTACGGGTCTAACTGTTTATAATATTGAATTTCCTTTTTTTACCTACGCTGATAGCCTCGAGAGGCTATATCAGCGTTGCCCTAGCGTGTAGGTGAGCTCACGGGGCTCAAACCGGAGGTGTTGCTAACACTGGCCCTAGCAAGAGCAGTGCTTCGCAGAATTTACCACCGGATCGGAAACGCGACCCACTGAAAAAATCCGGCGAGAAATTCAGTGGGCTTGAATTGTCATCAGTCCTTGATAAGTACGCCAAATTTCAAGTAAATCCGACGTGTTGAAGGCGGTCAAAATCATATTCAAAGATTCCCCTACATACTAACATGCGTATGAAGCTAATAAAAGCCTATTAAAAATGTCATTCCGCACAAAGTTGCTGGAAGACATCGCTCTAAGCAACAACTCAGATTGGAGCAGAAGCTTGAATTGTCTTTACCCATTTTGTGTGAATTTACGGTGGTACAACAAAGAATTATCTGCTTCTCTAGCGAGTTTCGTCTTGTTCGGTGAAAGTTCTGGGTCAGAATTACAGCGAGCCTTTACGCAACAATGAGATGAGCGTGGAAAGTTGAACACAATAGGGGCATCTGGGAATGTTTTCATTCATGAACATATTTTCGGAGATAAAGTTACATAAAGTACGTAAAAAATGTTACGTCAAAAATCCCTAAAACATAAGCCAAATGCTATAAGGCAAAAGAATTTTTTTTTTAATGAGGATTCGAGATCTTTTTCTTACAGAGTTAGCATGGTCATCTAATTTTATTTAAGTAAGAGTGTTTGTATCTATAAATAATATGTATGTTATATACACATATGTTTTAGTAATATCACTATCACACTACACCTACCAAGGTTCACCTCTGCACTCCCCTAAGGTAGACTGTCATAGAATACCTATGGTATTAAGTCCGCCTTTATACTGTCAAGTACATAAAGTTGTAAATAAAATAAATAAATAAATAATACCGGTGACGGATCATATATGACGAAGCCGAGTAGGTTATCTACATTTAAAATATAATTTCTTCGTTAAAAGCGGTGTCGTTAATATTGCCAACATCCTTTTCCGTCGGTCATTCAATTGGTCAACCATAATGAATCAAATGCGGGTTTCATACAAGGCGGTCACCATTTTAATTTAATTATTTACGCTTGAAACATTTTGAAATTTAGTGACTAGTTTTAACGAGCAAATGTTGCAATGAGATGAGGCGTCAACTAAACAATATCTATAGTGCGAGTTTTTTAAGGTTCTCGATTGAGTAAAAGTTAACTCAAATTTGTATGGAGTTGGAACAACGCCCCTAGCGGCAAACGTAAGCGAAAGATACATACAAACTGTGAGTTAACTTTTACGTTATCGAGAACGTTAAAAAACTCGCACTAAGCACAATGAGCGTCAGATCCTAGGTGAAATAGGAATTAGAAACGGCAAGATGGCGTGTAGCGATACGCAGAACGAACGCTTTTTAAACAATATTTGTAATAAAACAAGCAATGTAAATTAAAATATAACAATATTTTTATTCCACTCGATTTTGGGTTATTAGTATTGGTACCTTAGACAACACAGAACGCCGCGACTCACTTAAGATATGAGCTCTCAATTGCGCTGTATTTACTCAAACTGGAACAATTGAGTCGCGGCAAAAATAGGCAGGTCTGGGATACCCACCCGTGTCAGATCATCGTTCAGCATCAGTAATAACGCAAATAATAAACGATCTAAGTTTGATGGTGTCGAAAAAACAAAGTTATCCAGTCATCGTGAAAGTCTTTAGTCATGTGCGTGCTGTTTTTGAACCCTGACGCGTTTGCATCAGCCAACACGAACGCATCCGAGGCTCCACAGGGTACCGACTCTTAAGGCCATATCGTTGGTCTTGTTTTTAAAGCTAATTAAGGAATTTAATCTCGTTTTTGGGAGGGACCATAGACGATTTCTATGAGAAAATATAATTGTTTTATTTACCTATTAACAAAGACAGATTAAATAAAAGTGCCTTCTGAATTACGTAATTAGGTAACTCCGATTACGTATAGAGACACACCCGTCAAGCAATACGCTAAGTCAACATTGCTTTGTCGAGTTCTTTCGCTGCTTTTCCAATCACGAGGTCAAATTTTCGTTGCTTCTTCTCATCTAATTAAAACATTGGTAGAGCAACAAGAGCAGCGCGCGGCAATGGAAACAAAACTTTTGTAATTAGTACCTACCGTCAAACAGGACTCGCTGAGTGATGTACAACTAAGAACAACCAGTTGGAACATATTATGTAAAATGAATATCTCACTTTTTTAATTACTTAGATGGGTGGAAGAGAAGCCCGGTGATGAATCATTACCGGAGCCCATAGACATCGACCAGCCACCACAAATCCTACCACCCATTTTGAGACATGAGTTCAAAGTTTTGTAGTACTGTAGATACCAGACGTTGCATTAGAAAGGTTTCTTTTTATTACCATCCTTCAAAGGCATTCTATATAAGGTACTATATGAAGATACATCCAATTACTTTAAAAAGCTACAAACAAATTACAAATACAGATGAATCACAGAAGTAAAGCGGCCACCGAACTAGATCATTGACAAACCAATCATCATAAATTAAGAGTTATCGAAAGAGGTGTGTGGACATGGATGTAATATATATGTGACAACTAAGACAATCTGATGAAATTTTAGCTAAAGTAACTCTAGTAGGCATCGAATTTCTTTATTTATTTAAGAAAAATATGAAAATATTGTGGTTTCTTCTCTCATCTCTTTCTTGTGGTTGATCTTCGGTCTGATTGAGACTCCAGTTTAATGAAAATCAAGATTTTAACTACATGGTTATAATAACTGGTGGTAGGACCTCTTGTGAGCTCGCACGGGTAGGTACCACCACCCTGCCTATTTCTGCCGTGAAGCGGTAATGCGTTTCGGTTTGAAGGGTAGGGTAGACGTTGTAACTATACTGAGACCTTAGAACTTATATCTCAAGGTGGGTGGCGTATTTACGTTGTAGATGTCTATGGGCTCCAGTAACCACTTAACACCAGGTGGGCTGTGAGATCGTCCAATAATCTAAGCAAAAAAAAAACAAAAAAAAAATGGCTTCCGAAATTATTGTATTTAATAATGATGGTTCAATGTGACGCTAAGTCAGCGCAAGTGATCGCCAATATAATTTCGGACGGCTCTACGAAAAAGGAAAAAAATTCTGAATAAGATAGTACGTAATCGTGTCGTGCTTATGTTCTAATGACGCTACAGTTTTATTTACTACTAGCTGACCCGGCAGACTTCATAGTACCTCAATCGATAAATAAAAGACCTACACTTTTGTATAAAATACACTTAAAACAAACAAAAGTAATCCGTCCGACTGGGGACACTCAAATGAAAAACAAAATTGTTATTTTTATTTAATTCCGAGCATTTTCATATTTATTTACCTTTTAAACCTTTTCTGGACTTTCAAAAGTAATTCAAGACCAAAATTAGCCAAATCGGTCCAGTAGTTTTCGAGTTTTAGCGAGACTAACGAACAGAAATTCATTTTTATATATATTTACTATATAACGTCTATGGAATTAGCGAAGCAATATTCAGCAATGACCGTGAGTGGTTTAGCGTCTCAGCGCATTCGTTCAACTCGCTTATTGTACAACTCAGTAAACATAAAAGTGTATTTTATTACAGAGAAAGTCAGCGAATCGAAATCGAAAGTAATTGTGTTTTTTTATTGGTTAACGGTAGCTTTAATCTTTGTTGTATTTAGAGATATAGTAGCGCACGTTGATCAGCGGTGCTTTTGTATTGAAGGGTCCATTATTATAGAGGGAAGATCTTGTACCTAGCGAGTGAAATTGCTTGGTAGACCGACACGGTTCAACTGTTGTTATTGGGAACTTGTATAAATTCAAATTTATCTTGAAAATGTCATTAGCAAGATTCAGGCATCTGTCAAGCATTTTGGGTTATATGGTAGCTGCTTGCCACATCACTTCCCTCCAAGACCGGAGGTCGCATTGTCCGTTCTGAGGTTAGCTTGCAAGTGCCAGTGCTGCTTGAAGTATGTGGCGAGTTCAGACTGAACTTGAACGCCGTGTCAGTGCTGTAATAGTCCATGTGATGAGGAATTTCTACGCAGAAGATGTGTGACCTCAAGTATTATTTGATTGGGTTATGGGCTGCGATGGTCTGAGCGAATTTTGGTAACCGTTTTTATAGTTTGCGGAATACAGGATTCTGCGGAGTTCTATCGCGAAATATCATACGTTCCCGTTTGAAGAGTGAAAGGGTTCTGAAGGAAGGTATTTCTGTATTTCTTTGGTGAGGCCAATGAAGTTCAAGGTTCACTTGGTGTTTAATAGTTCAAAGAATGAATGGAATAAATATCACCACAGACCTTAAGGTCGAAAATAACTGACAGTCACGTATAACTGCTATACTCAATGCTCAAACTGGAACGTGTGACTGCTTGGCGACAGAAAAAATAATTTTACCTACACGTGCGAACTCATGTAACGCCCTACCACCATTAATTACGTAATGATGCGATTCCAAAATGGCGGAAGTCATAATTTTTTTAAATTGCCCATTGCTCGATTTTCTTATGCTCTTATATTATCGATACACACCTTAAACCGATCGTTCTCGGCCAATTTTATGTGAACGCTTGTTAAGCCATAAGCCGTGATCGTTGCGTTCCTAACAACCAGTCGCGTGATGTGATTGCGAAGGTGATAAATCACGTCGGTCACGCTGTGTTCGAACGCAGTGTTTTTATCACGATCACCTGATGTCAAGTTATTGCAGGAGTGGACGTCAAAACGCGAATTCCACTACCCAGCGGTAGAAATTGTGGCGCCTACTTATTTGGGTCTCGATAAACCGTACCACTGTTAATAGAGGATCAGTTTGACGCCCCTATTAATAAATTTAATATATCGTCGCTGTCAAACGAAAATTTGCTATATGCAAAAACTCTATCATGAATTAACGAGTAAAAACATTTTCGTTTTATATGAAAGTGAATTTTTAAGAACTATATCAAATGAAAACTATAGATAAATATTAAAGCTATAGACACATAACAGTTTTTTTTTTATACGGTAGATAGGGCTGTGAACTACGCGAAAAGGTCAAAAAGTAAAAATCTCAAAAAGTGCATTCTTTTTTCCAAGAATACATCATACAAGTTATGTTGGCTTTGCATTGACACAGAACAAAAAAAAGGGGTTAAACGAAGCGAATTTACAATTTAAAAAACTAAGAAACTCTTGTATAGCGATTAAGAAGATTTTATGGGAAAACAGTTGGTTTTTCAAACAATGTACTGCATATTCTATGTTACAAAAGTGAGGTTAAACAATTTTTCCAGGACGCGATACATGTTTGGTGTGATTACAAATATACCAGTATACACGTTGCGTGTTCGCGGAAT